AGTGCCAGGGTCAACCTGCATCTGGTTCCTCATACCCAGTGTTGCCTGAACTGGGCAGAGAGCATCTGGGAGCCAGGAGGCAGCTTACTTTCCTCCCTTACACCCCGGAGAAGTTAGTAGCCAAGACAAATGCACTTCTGTCAAATTGCCTAGGGCTGGCAGAGGACCACAGTGCCTTGGATTTTCAGATCACTGGGTTGGAATTTGCAGTCTGCAGAGCACACTTGTTCTCTTGGGTAACCCGAGCACAGGATTTACTCTCTCCAGACCTCAGCTTTTCCATCTGTAAAATGGATGCCAGAGTTCCCTGCTTCACTAGGGCCAGGGTGCAAGCTCAGAGGAAGCAAACAACCTTTAGATATTTCCTTGTCCCCAAGTGACAGATGAGAAGCAGAGACCCAGAGGGTTAAATTGGGTCACCCAAGGTCCCTCAGTAAGTGGTGGAGCTAGGATGCAAACCCAGCTCTGTTTTTAAGAGCAGCAGGTCTGGGGATACGGGTTTTGGTCCTGGCTCTGTTACCCACTGGCTGTGTTATCTTGGGCAGGTCCCTTTCTGTCTCTGCACCTGTTTCCTCCTCTGTAACATGAGTGGTTTGCTCTTGATGACAAGGCCCTTCAGCTCTGACACTCTGACAGAGTTCAAACTCAACTTCTGTTGGGTTGTTGCTCATTTTGCAAAATTTGGGTTCTGCTGGCATATCTCTAAGGAATAGCTTCTCAGGCCTCTGGGTCTTTAGATCCTAGTCTGGAAATATCTGGCTCATCCATTTTCCCCCGATCTGCCCTGGAAGGAGGATCTGGTGCCATAGGTAGCCCACTAAGGGTTCGTTCTTTTGCCCCCCAGAACCCAGGTACCTTCATTTGTTCACTCAGTAAGCTCTTTTTCTAGCACCTTCACTGTACCCAGAGAGGCCCCAAGGCGGAACTGGAGAAAAGAACAGCCCTGACTACCTTCAGGGGGCCAGGGCCTGTGATGGATGCTTTACATATGAATTTACTGTTGCTGCCAATCTATGAAATAGGTATTATCCTTGTTTAACAGAAGGGGGACAGAAACCGAGAAGGATAAGCAACTTATTCAGTGATCACACAGATAATAAGTGTTGGAACTGGGAATTAAGCCAGCAGTTAATCCCAAACAGAAGATGATTCCCAAAGGGGATAAACCAAAACCCATTTTATCGGGCTTTTGGTAGAAGATATCACATATACTTTGAATACATGGATTTAGTAACAGCCATTTGTTTGCTGGCCCCTGTGTGCCGACTGCTCTCCATGCAGGACCTCATTGAATCCTTATCACAACACACGATATAGGATTTATCGTTGAGGAAGGTGAGACTCAGAGAGGTTAAGTGACTTGTCTCAGGTCACACAGCGGTGAGCTAGGGGTGCTGGGATTTGAATCTAGGTCTTTCACACCCCAGAGTGTGATGTTTATTTCTTCACAGGTGCTCTCTTTTCTGCTGTGGCCTGCGTCAATAGCTTGGCCATGCTGATGGCTTCTGGCATCTTCAACTCACTCTACCCAGCCACCCTGAACTTTATGAAGGGGTTTCCCTTCCTCCTGGGAGCTGGCCTCCTCTTCATCCCGGCCATTCTGATTGGGTAATGCAGGGCTCTGACCCATGATCATAATGCCCTTTATCCCAAAGTTTCCCTCTTTCTCCTCCTCCCAACCAGAACTCATACCTGGAACCCCGTGATTCCCCCCTTGCGGATAGCTGCCTAGTCATCTGGGAGCCATTGCCCAAGGGCAGTGCAGAGGGGCACTAGGGGAAGGGTCAGGGTACCATCGCTTGCAGGCAAGGCTGTGCTCTCTCCCTTGGCTCCCCTCCTCCTCCATTCCCATTTTGCAGATGGAAGTATGGTGGCAGAAATGTGCTAAAGGGAAGCCTGGAGAGCTTCCTCAGCTAGTTTCGGCTGGGCCCCAGGCTAGCCTGACCTACTGACTTCTTCCCCCGTAGCCTTAAGAGTTGCTTTCCAGAGCCCTCTGTCTCTGGAGGACATTGCCTTGTCTTCCACCTCTCAGCTTTGGGAGGGAATACGTGTACCAGCCAACCCGATAAAGCCTGTGTCCCATCTCTAAGCGTTGAGGGTGTCTCCCCATGTCAAATCTGAACTCTTTCTCTGGTCTCTCTCACAGGGTGCTGGAAAAGGCTAATCCTCACCCTGAATTCCAGCAGTTTCCTCAGAGCCCCTGATCCGCCTGGACCAGAGGACAGAGGGCAAAGGGAGCAAAGCGAACACCAAGCAAGTGTGTATCTCGATCCCAGCCCGCAGTGACACTGGCACCTCCCCTCAGAGGGCACGTGTCTACCTTGGACAGAGCAGTCCAGCTAGACGGCTGTGCTAGCCTAGGACTCTAATCTAGAATTGTAACCCAGACAGTCCTACTCCAGGAGGCAGTGGGGGGGCTGTTTGGAACAGGGGTCGGTGTACCCTTTCTACCATCGGTCACAGAGAACCGTCCAGGGGAGCAGAGAGGTCCCGATGGAGGGACACCTCAGGGACCAGCTGAAGCACGAGGGCTGGCATCTCTGCTTCAACCCAAACTGCGCAGCTCACTGGGCCATTTCTGGTGTGCAGCGGCTCCTCAGCGATGGATGTGGTTCAGAGCGGAAGGCTGTGGGAGCGACTGGGTGCCCTCTGGAGGGAGAGTGCTGGGAATCGATCCTCTGAGCTTAGCAGTGCAATCACAATAAATCCATACAAGTCACACTGAGGTGAACCTTCCAGGCCCCCAAGGCATGGGGCTGTGGGGCTGTCTGCTTTTCCGTTCCCAGTCTGCCCACCAGAGGTCAGAAAGCAAGCTTCCGGGCTGGGCAGGAGCCCCCTGAGCTACTATGGGATTGTGCTGGGCACGGCTGGCCCACACCTCATCTGACTGCTCACCCCCTTCTCCTGAGCTGCTGAACAGGGCTGGAGGGTTGCCGGGCTGGCATCAGGCCAGTGGAGAGATTGGGGGCAGAGCCCGTTCCTGAGGGTCTGTCAGAGATCCATTCCCTGAAGGCACCTTACGGGTCCACCTGGTTCCACCAGCCCAAGTACGATCAGTTTTTGTTACTACTCAGCCCTCCAGCGCTCCCGTTGCCACGCATTTCAGCAGGGCCATGTGCTGAGACCATCCTCCTGCATCTGTAGCTCAACGGGAACCCGGAGAGGGGTGTGACTCCCCGATATGATCCAGGGGCCCGGCTTCTCAGAGAACGAGGGGCCCTTTTCCAGGCCGTCAGGAAAGCCTGGCCCAGAAGCTGAAAGGCGGAACTGGATTCAGTATTAAGGCACCAGCTTTGATGAGGGCTGCAAGCCCCCACACAGACCCAAATCAGGTGGCACTTGCCTGCAGATGTGAATTGGCCACAGGGCTTGGCTCCCTGCCACCCTCCCTCCCTCTCCCCTGCCCTGGAAATCAAACAGGTGTGATGGGGACAGTGCAGGGCAGAGCGGGGTCAGCTGTGGCCTCTGCAACCTGGGCCTGTTGCCACATTCCCAGCTCACTGTCTCTATCATGGGGAGCCTAAAGCAAGGAGAGGAATACAGTTCCGACTGTCCCAGCATGAGGCAGTGAGGACGGTCAGGGAAAAGGTTCTGGGCTGCCCTCAGGCCTGGGCTCTACTCTGGGCATTGCCTCTGGCTCGCTTGTGACCTTGAGCAAGCCCTCCTATGAAGGGCTACGTCAGCAGTGCCCCGAACTATCTGATCACAGGTGGACAAGTTAGGAAACACTGGATTAGATGACATTCTGAGACCCTTCCCACCTCATACATTCTAGAATGAGACGCCTCTCTTCCTGGGCAGGGGAGAAGAATGAAGGAGTTGGAGCTGGACTTCCTGACCTCTGGGTGTCCCTGAGCAGTCCTTAGTCCCTGGGGACGGCTGGGGTGAGGTGGGTAGGGACCTAGCTGATTGAGCACCCACCTGGGGGAGCAACTGAAGCCCAGCCAGGCCGAAACTCCTGACCCCGCAGGCCCGCGTCAGAACAGGCTCTGGGGGAAAGGCTGTTTCTCAGCCCCGGTTCAGGACCAGCCCTGTGGGGCCAAGTCTGGCTGGGGGTGGGGGGTCAGGGAATCATCCCCTCGGGGTTGGAGGCTGGGCTCCGATTCCCCAGAGATATGAAGGGGCAGCAGTAGAGGGTGTAGGAACAGAAGAAACGGCCTGGCAGCCTCCCTGAATACTGCCCTCCGGGCACCTCGGGAGGGAGGGGGACTGAGCGGGGACCAAAAGACAGCTTTCCCTGGACGGTACTCATCCCACTGTAGTGTTACTGTCGATGCCCTGCCTCCCTCATGGGCTCCAGAGCTACGAGTGACCTGGCCAGCACCTGTGGGAGGTGACTCTGGAAGCTGAGCCAGCCTGAGGTGCCAGGCCACTGTCCTCAGAAGGGAAAAAGCAAGGCAGGCTCCAGCTGACCCCGTTAGCTGAAGCCTGGGTTTACAGGAGGGAGGATACTTCCCTGCTCTCTTACCCGAGTGGAGAAAAGAGCAGAGGGACATTCCTGCTCGTTTATTTCTGTACAGCTCTTGGGCCAGCCTTTTTTGGTGAAAACCTGCCCCCCACTGCCAGAGCCCTGGGGCAGAGGAGAAGCCAGCCAGGTAGAGCAACAGCCCTGCCCAGGGCACAGCCTCCAGGATGATTTCTCTGGACAGGCAGTGGACTGAGCACCGGGAGGCCAGGTCTGGATACCGGGGCGGCCATGCTGATTTGGGAAATGGCATGTCATTCAGTTCTTTCTCCGTACAAGGGAGATTATACGGGGTGGGGTTGCTCAGGTGATTGCAGGAAATGTGGAGTGGTGTGGGGGGCGGGGGGGAGGCAAAGATTTGGGAGGGATTTGTGTTTTAGAGCCTCACTAAAGTACCATTCCTTGACCATCCGCATCCACTCACCTGGGAATTTGTGAGAAATGCAGAAACCCAGGTCCTGCCCAGGTCTCCTGAACGCAGTTTTTAGCAAAATTCCCCAGTGATTCCAACGCACCCCTCACCCTTCTTCAGGATCCTGCCTCTTCCCGTGTTGCTGCAGGCTCTGTCCAGCTGACTGCTGCTGACACAGGGGGCTGCCTCCCCTGGCCGCCCCCTGAGCAAGTGGGTGGGGAGGGGCTGGGGAAGCCAGCTGATCCAGGCCGGCGGGAACTGAGGCACAGCAACAAGGCATGTGGAGGGTGGTGAGCTGCCTGTTGAGCAGGCCCAGGCCCCAGGAGGCGGCTCCCTTGCACCGAGGAGAGCAGCTGCAGGCCAGCCAGAGTGAGGGTGACCCTGACCCCGGGTGTGGCCAAGAGGACTGCACCTCAGGAAGGCTGGGAGGGGACCGGGGACCAGGCCAGCTAAGGACACAGTGGTTAGAGGTCAAGGCCACAGGGTGGCAGGAAGCGGTGAGGCCAGAAGCCAGGCACTATCTAGGTGGAAAGCCATCACCGGACCCCCATCTCCGGCTGGCTGCTGGGCCCAGGCCCTTGCTTAGCCCCGAGGGGTGGGCATTGCCCGAACTCCTGTCAGAGGGAGGCTGCCTGGCTGCTGTCTGGGCAGGAGGGAATGTCGTATGCGGCAAACCCTCAATCTCCAGAGTCTCTCCCACACCTGAGATAGAGAGCCTGGTGGCAGGGCCGGCGGGGGGTGGGGGGGGGTCTGGCCCTGAGCACCCCCAGTGCCTGGCTTCCCTTCCATTTCTAGACACCAAGGAGGCTGGGTTTGAGATGGACTGTGAGGGAGGGGGCAGAGCGACAGCCATTTCCAGGGAAGGGCCCCGGGCGGTTGCAGCAGAGAGAGGCCAGTTTGAGGAGCTGCTCCTTCGGGAGGGATGATGGAAATGGGGGTCGCAGGAGAGCTTGGGAACTAAGGACTGGTTAAGTTGGGCCCATGGGTGCGGCCCCCTCCAAACTGGTGTCAGAGCCTGCAGATGAGTCCCGAGAGGAGCGGCCCTGCAGGAAGCGGATGATCTTCTCAATCGTGGCCTCCTGGTACTCGTGGGACCACCTGTGGGCACAGGGGCTGGTGGGTCAGGGGGCTGCGCAGGGGGAGCTGCTGGCTGGGGGCTGCGCACCCACCCCCCTCTCCTCACTTGATGCCATTGAAGGAGAGCACAGCCTGCATGTCCTCAGGCAGGTCCTGGGGCTCTGGCCACTCGAAGCCATCGATGACCGGCACAATGTTCTTGCTGCAGCTCAAAGCAGTCACAATCTCCTGCAGAAAGAAACGAGGGGAGGAGGAAGAGACCTGGGTCCCCATCTAGGGACCCTGGGGCCAGATAGACGCCGGGAGGGGTGCTGGTGCTGAAGTCCACTTTGACTTCTCCCTCACCCCTTGTTTTTTTTTTTTTAGTAAAAATCAAATATTTGGTTTTTGCCCCAGGTCCTTGGCATAGAGCTCCTAAAACACTGGGAATCCCCGGATGGGTGGAGGTTGGGGATGGGGGTGCCTAGGTAGCTTCTGGATGGGGGCTGCTTGCCAGGAAGACCAAGCTATCATGAAAAAGTTGGAAATTTTAAGTATCCCACATACATTCACAGACGCACACCTCCCAGGAGGGGAGAGGGGCTGGAGATTCAGTTCACTCACCAGTGGCCAATGACTTCATCATGCCTCCATAATGAAACCACCATCAAGTCCCCCAAGGATGGGGGGGGAACATATCTAGGTGCTGGGAGGGTGGCCTGCAGAGGGCATGGGAGCTCTGTGCCTCCCTGCCTGTGCCCCACGCCCCAAACCTTTGCCCTATGCATGGCTTACATTCCAATGTGCCTGAGCTATAGCCTCTACAATGAACCAGTAATAGTTAAGTGCTTTCTCAGTACTGCATGTCATTCTAGCAAATTATTGAACTGGCTGGGGGAGGGATGTGTGTGTCATGGGAACTCCTGAACTGCTAGCCAAATCAGACAAGTGCGGGTAACCTGGGAACCCAGGACTCTCAGGCATCTGAAGTGAGCATGGATGCGTGGGACTGAGCCTTTAACCCTCTGGAGTCTGACACTTGCTCTGGGTAAGTCAGTATCAGAACTGAACTGGGGGCATCTGGGTGGCTCTGTTAGTTAAGCGTCAGACTCTTGGTTTCAGCTCGGGTCATGATCTCAGAGTCTTGAGATGGAGCCCCATGTCGGATCTGCCCTTGGCGGGGAGGAGTCGGCTTCTCCCTCTGCCCCGCCCTCACATTCGCAGGCACACAATGCGGTCTCCCGCTCTCTCTCAAATAAGTAAATCTGAAAAAATTTAAAAAAGAACTGAATTGAACTGTGGGACACCCAGTTGGTGTTGGCAAATTGGAGAACTGGCTGTCGGTGTTGGCAAAAACCCACACAACTTGGTGTCAGAAGAAAAACATCACCCTTTGCACCCGAACTGATCCATCACCGGCTCTGCCAGCAGTACACCTTATTTCTCAGACCCACCCACTTTGTCTCTTCCTCCACCCACCACCGCGCTGCTCCAACCCCCCATCTTTGTCCCCCACCAAGTCTCTCCCCATCCACTCTTGCCCCTGCTAACTTGTTCTCTACGTTGCCCCTTCACCTGGCTGCTCTTTGCAAAATGCAAATCTGATCATGTCACCCCCTACTTAAAAATCTTCAAGACTATACATGGCTCTCAGAATAAAATTCAGACTCCTTACTGTGGTCTGAAGGCTCTGTGTGGTTGGCCACAGCTCCCTTCCCAGACTCCACCCTGCACCGTTCTCCCAGCCACACAGACCCTGCAGCCCCTTAGATTTGCCATCCTCCCTCCCTGCACAGGGCCTGTGCACATGCTTTTCCCTGCCCCTTCACCTAATGCCTACTCGTTTTTCTGATCTGAGCTCAATCCACACTTTCCCAGGGAAGTCTCCACTCCCTTCTCTGACTACGCACGATCTCCCTCTTGTAGGCTCTCATAGGCTCTTTAGCACATGCTACAGTTGCAAACTTAATGAGTAACTTACTTAATATCTGTCTTCCCCACCAGACATAAAGACAGGGATCATGTCTGGCTTTTTTTTTTTTTTTTAAAGATTTTATTTATTTGACAGAGAGAGACACAGTGAGAGAGGGAACACAAGCAGGGGGAGTGGGAGAGGGAGAAGCAGACTTCCTGCCGAGCAGGGAGCCCGATGCAGGGCTTGATCCCAGGACCCTGGGATCATGACCTGAGCCGAAGGCAGACGCTTAACGACTGAGCCACTCAGGTGCCCCTCATGTCTGGCTTTTATCCACCTTGCATCTCAGCATCTTTCACAAAGCCTTGCCCATAGTCAGCCTTTGCCAAATACTTAATTGGATGGCTGGATGGTTGGAATGAATGAATGAATGAATGAATGAATGGGAGAGACAACATAGCATAGCCGTTAGGGGCTGCACTCTGGAATCATGAGATTGGGGTTCACATCGAATCTCTGACACAGGCTTTGTGGTCTCAGGCAACCAACGGGCCCTCAAAGCCTCTGTTTTCTCTTCTGTTGGGGGATACCTGCCATGTCCCGTGGCAAGTGGTTAAAGCAGCGCCCAGCATGTAGTGTGTGCTTAATCAGTCACAGGGCTTACGATTTCCTCCTCTGTAAAGAAAGATAATAAACCTCCCTCACAAGGTGGTTCTGAGGATATTACTTACTATTAATGGGTGCTCTGGTAAGTGCTTATTGAATGTTTTTTCCCTTTCAAGGGGGAACCTCAGGGACTGGGAATTCTTGAGTGCAGTTCACTTGTGGTTTTCTATATTGATTACCCACCAAATGTGGCTTCGGGGAAAGGAGTTTTAAAACCAGAGGCAATGAAGCACTAACAACAACCAAGGAAGGCTGATGGAGCCTTTGGGACTGGTCCAAGGCGGAGGCTCCTGCCACCCCTCCTCCCTCTGGATGGATGTCAAGCACGTGTGGGGAGCAGAGCCTTCCTGGGGAAAGAATCCACATAACTCCAACACGGATTGCTTTTGGGGAACCTCTCATTTTATGAATGAGAAGAAAGAAGCCCAGAGAGGGGAAGGGACTTGCCCCCAAGTCACACAAATGCTCAGCCCAAGAGGGGCCAGGCTTCTGAATCAAGCTTTTAGATTCCAAGCCCAGGCCTCTTTTAGCCAAGCCCTCTGCCTCTCTGCTGAGAACTTATATGAATTCTGACCCTGCACAAATTTATTTATTTTTTCCTGCACAAATTTATTTGAGAGCCTTTAGACATTTGTTTTATCCAGAATTACACAGACCCAAAGACCGCACACTGCTCATTGCACAGACTCAGCATCTGGCCAAGAGAGGAAGAATGGCTTGTTCAAGGTCATCCAGCAGGTTAAGAATGAAAACTTGGATTCAAGTCGAGTGTTCTGGCCTGGTGAACCTGGTGGACATGTATGGCCTTCCCAGTTATATCAGCTTCCTCTGTTTGGTCACTGGTTCAAGTATTCCGTAAACTCGTCAAGAGCCTGCTTCGTACCACGCATGCTTGTAGGCACCCGGGATATAGAGTGAACAGAGCAAGGTCTGATCTTGCATGGAGCTCAGCTACTCCTCTCTTTATCCCAGAAGGCCGCCTGCCACCTGCTCTGGGCCATCAACCATGATCCTGCAGGTGTCTCTTTGGCCCAACATCCAACTGAGCCCAGTACTCAGCCCCTAAAACATGGCTTCCAGGGCCTGACCCTCTTCCCTACGGTGGGTCTGGATGCACTCTGGTGTCAGAGCCTTCTCCCTACAACTGCTGGCCTGGCCTCACTGCCCTTGTGGGATCCCTTTTCCCAGTCCTTTAAACACAAGACTTCTCCCGGCCTTTAGGTACCGTGCAAACTGGTTCTGTAGTTTTTCGTTTGTTTGCTTTTTTTAAAGAGGGAGAGAGCCAGTGGGGAGGGGCAGAGGGAGAGGAGGGGAGAGAATCTTAAACAGGCTCCAGGCCCAGTGGGGAGCCCGACGCAAGACGCTACATCTCACGACTCTGAGATCATGACCTGAGCCAAAGTCAAGAGTCAGATGCTTACTTGACTGTGCCACCCAGGCGCCCCAGGGGTTTGCTGGTAAATGTTTAACAAATAAATCTCGGGGGGGCAAAAAACCCCAACCAACCAACCAAATAAAACCCCGATTTATAGTGTTTACCAGTTTCCTTTGTGTCAATACTCCCACCAGGGCTGATTTCAAGCTACCAAAATGACGTCCCTGGACAGGGAATTGGGAAGAGATGCAGACAATCATTTCTGGTGTCAGCTGAATCCTGCCCTGTCCCACCACCTCCCCTCCCACCCCCTCAGATCTGCGCCATGGGAGGCAGTCAGGTGCTGGGAAAGAGCATGGGCTTTGGAGTCAGATCGATGGAGTTCAGAGCCCAACTTTTTGGATTTCTACACCAGCCAGGGGAAAAAGTATTCTTCTCTGAGCCTCAGCTTCTTCATCTGCAAGCAATTACCAGTGACGCACCTTCCTCATCCCCACTTTTGTCCTCTGCTCGTGCAGTTGCCCTGCCTGGGATGCCTTTTCTTCCACTTACCTAAATTCTTAAGACTCTTCTCAAGTTCTGCTTCCTCCACAAAGCCCTCCCTGGTTATTCCAGCCCTAATGTTCTCCCCCTTCTCCATGCTCCTGTGGTGAGTAAGAGGTTCACCTACGTAGCTTAGCAGTGACACCAACCCATATATGAACTAGCCACGTCTGGGCAAACTCTCATTTCCTTAGCTGCTTCAGGACAAGGGTTCCATCTCAGATGACTGCTGTATCCCTCACTGATTAATAACTAATAACCTGCAGATGTGATATGGACCCATTTCATCCATCCATCCATTCTGCAAGTATTCAGTAAGTTTCTACTGTGTGCCAGACACTTAAGACACAATGGCATTAATTAAACAGTGGTAAACACTCATACTAATTACAAGAATAAATACTGCCATTATAGAGCAATTACTATAGAACTAGGAATTCTGCTAAGGACTTGACAGATTTTAGCTCTTTTAATTCTTATAACAATATCCTAGGGAGTTAGGGACGATACTTCTCCCACTTTACAGTAGCAAACGTGAAGCTTGTTGCGGTTACATAACTTGCCCAAGGTCAGAGCTGGGATTCAGACTCACAGCTTTGTGCCCTTCATGATCTCACTGCACCTGTCGCTAGGCTCTCTTGCCCCCCTTCCCACACTGAGGTTATTTGTCAAAGCGTTTTCCTCCTTTTCTGACTCTCACGACCATCCCACGGGTGAATATGACAGGCAAGTTATCCCCACTTTCTGAATGAGAACACTGAGGCCCAGAGAGCCTCAACGACTTGTTAAAGGCCAGTTACAGTCCTAGCTGTGCTCCTGCCTCACAGCTGGGCCGCGGAGGTTGCTGGGGAGTACGGATGAGGAGGAAAGGGAGGACGACCTTGACCCCTGGCCACAGGCCAGTGCTGCGACCACGGAGGGCAGCACCTACCTTGTGCACCCAGTCTTTGCACTCATGGTCCTGCATGCACTTGTCCAGGGCCCCGGCCGACAGCACCAGCACAAAGTTGCGGGCACCCATGACACTCTGGATGAGCTTGTCCTCGAACTTGCCTGCTTCCAGCTTCTCCACATCAATGAAGACACTGAAGCCGTGCAGCTGCAGATGCACCTTCAGGAGGCTGGGGAGAGGTCCCGCGTCACTGCTCTGGCCCGGCCCCGAGGCCCTGGGCCACCCGCCTGCCCACCCCTTCTCACCTGGCCAGCTGGGAGCCTGAGTTCCGGCGGTAGCTGATGAAGACGTCTGGGATGTCCCCACTGGGCTTGCCGCCAGGGCAGGGCAGGGGGGAGTGTAGCATTTCTGAGGCAGACAAGGGGACAGCTTGGTAAGGGTAGTCCCTCCCCCTCACTCGCCATAGGGTACGTCATCCCCTGCCCACCCAGCCTGGCCCAGGCAGGTGGCCTGTCCAAAAGAGGGTCACTGAGATAGAGAGCTGGGCCTACAGGAAGGGAGGCTGCTCCCTATTGGCGAGTCCCTCTCAGGAGGCAGGCACTGTGTTTTAGGCACCCAGATCTGCACTTCCAGCACCGCCTTCTCTCCGGAGCCCCAGACCTGCATGGGCAGCTGCCCACAGACACTGTAAACCCAACACATCCCAAATCCTCCCCGGGCCCCTGCCTTCCTAGTGACAACCCTATAGCACCTCCAGACCCACACTGTGTAAGCTGTTGGCTAATCGCATAAGCCCCCTGTCTGCCCACCCCTATCCCCTATCCCCAGCAAGCACCCTCCTTGCTGTCTAGCCTCGACATCTGCATATACAGCTCCCTCTGCCTGGGCTGTTCTTCTTGCTGCATCCTCCTCCCCAGTACATCCTTCAAGACCTGGTCAGCCGTCCTGTAAATGCCTAGACCTCGGTGGACAGGGTAGGCAGCGCTTCCTCTCAGCTCCCCCTGGAATCCTGGGCGTGCGTCCTGCCGTGGTCACCTACCTGCCTTACTTCCACCCTCCTGCTCAGCTCACACGGGGAACTTCTTTGCATCCTCAGAATCCAGTCTGGCACAGCATCTGTGCTCAATCCACCCTCAGTGAGGCTCAGAGGCCCCACCACGTGTCTCCCCTCGCCCCCCCAGGGCTGGGGGCTAGGACAGGGGTGGGGTCCCAGGTGGGCGGGCTGACCTCTGGCGGCCGTGAGGATGCGGGCGCGGTGCACGCCCAGGCGGATGCCGCAGTCCTCCAGGAGCTGCTGCTCCGACACGCGGTGCAGCAGGGAGCGGTCCAGGCCGCAGCTGACCAGGCCGTACGTATACTGGCGGAAGCGCGGGTCCAGGCTGCCCAGCCAGTCAGCCAGGTTGCTGCGGTCGCACGTAGCGTAGTTGGCGAAGGTCTTGAGCTCCGTGAGCTCCCTAAAGAATCTGCAGCCCGGGGAGAAGAGGACGCTGAGGTCCTGAGTGGGACTGGCTGGCTAGTGGCAGAGGGCGAGGACCGGCGGGCAGGAGGCTCCGTACCTTTTGCGGGTGATGCCGGATTTCATGCCCAGGTCAGTCTGGAGCTCCTCCTCCGTGAGCCGCAGAAGCAGGTCGCCATCTACCTGCTGCTCCTGGGGGAGGGGTCAGATGTAAGGAAGGGCTCCCCTCCTCAGCCGTTGGACCCCAAGCATAAGATGTAAGGACAGGGAACTGGAGACGGCGATGGGACCCAGATTAAAGACGAGTGGCCCCAGAAGTGGTTGAGTAGAGACTCCCACACCCGAAATCACCCCTGGCGCCGCGGGCGTGCTGGCCGCGAGGGGGCGCTGTTGCATTGTTCAGGGCGCCCCTAGCGGCCGCGCGCCCTGGGCATGCGCTGCTCTACCCGGAAGCTCTCGCAGTAATGGGAGAAGCCGATCTGCTGTAGCCATGTCTGGACCTCGGCCTCCTTCCAGCTGGCCACGCAGGGCAGGATGGGCCGCGGCACCTCCTCGCCCAGCAAGCGCAGCGCGCGTTTGGCCAGCGCCGACGTGGTGCCATTGGTGGAGTAGGAAACCAAGCGTTTCAGGCTCTGAATGGCTCCGATGTCGCTGAATACCTAGGGAGGGGTGGGGAGAGGGTGTCTTGGGTCCCCCAGTTCACCAGCCATCCCCAAACGGCCCAGTCCCTCCCCTCGCCTCTTCTCAGCGCTTAAACTCCCATCGTCTGCCCTAGCCCTGACTTCATCCAATATATCACCTGGTTCTGTGAATTCCCCCTCCTGAAACTCTCAACTCTTGCCTTCATGTCTTCGTTCTAGCAGCTTCCATCTCCCTGGGATGAAGTCTGAGGTCTCACCCTGGCACAGTGCAGCCCCTGTCCACCATTCTCAGCTCACGTCCCCTTTCTCCAGCCCACACTTGGCTGACACCCACCCACTAAGACTCTCCTAACTCTGGGCTCAGTCATGGTGTTCCCAGACCTTTAGTTCTTCCAGCCTGCTTGTGGAAATCCTGGGTCGTCCAGTGGAATCCAAATCCTCCATGCAGCCTGCTTTGATTTACCCACAGCTTGGCCCCTCCCTCCAATTAGGCCTGTACTCTAAATGCCACTGTTGTTAGTTGATAATGCAGCATCCACTAAACGATAAGCTGAGGTCATGTTTTAGTCACCTTTGGAGTCCTGTACCTGGCACACTGCAGGGTACAGAGTGGGGGCTGACTGTCTCTTTCCTGAACTGCATTCACTTGGTCTTGTTGGAAAAGGGATGGCACAGCTCGTGGTCATGGCTACTGCCCAGACACTGTCCTCACTCCCTACTTCCTTTCAAGTCCTTTCTCCCAAAGCAGAATGACCTGATTTATAAAGCCAGTCCCCCCATGGCCCAACTCTGGGGCACCGAGGAGGAAAATCAGAAGCTCCTAGGACATTAGACCTTGGAAGAGGCCTTAGAGATCCCCTAACCCAACAGTCTCTTTTTAATCTGTGGGGACACATACAATAGGTGACAATCATCTGTGAGACACTCTCCTCTCAGCAGCCCAGCTGACAGCTGTGGTGCAGCCAGGGTGGTCCATTTGGTGCCCACCACTCCCTGTGTCCTGGCTGTTGCCAACTCCCAGACCCCCAGAGGAATGCAAAGGAGGGAGAGGGGTGTTATAGGGATAATCTTGATTCTGTAATATTTAAAACAAAACTCACAAACTTTTGATCATTTAACTATTACTAGGTCCACATGCAGCATAAGAACTGCTGCTGTGGCCTGCTTCTTCAATTTTCCAGAGGCTAAAAAGGAAGCATATAGAAGCCCAGAGAGGGGAAGCCAGCTAGCCAAGGTCACACAGCAAGTTAAAGCCGAGGGCAAAAGCTTCAGATCAGGCCCTGGGCATGAGGACCTCTTGGGACGCAGGTGGGAGTTATCTGGTCAACACACTGACGTCCTGCCCCCCCCCCCAAGCCTCTGTCTCTGCACTCATCTCCTTCCTGCAGTCCAGACCCACATGATGAAATGGCCCACTGGGGTGCCCCAACTGGTCACTGTTCATGCACCCCAAACTCAACCTGTCCCAGTGAACTCACTTTCTTCCCCGCCCCCACTGCAACCTCTCACCAGTTAACTTTATTTCAGTACCAGGTGCCAGCACCCATGGGGTTGCCTGTGTCCAAAGCCAGGAGTCACCTTCAACTCTTCCCTCTCCTTCACCCAACCAGCCACCAATTCCTAATTCTAACTCTTCAGCACCTCTGGGATCTGTCTACTTTTTGCTGCTTCTGCTGCCATGCTCCAGCCCCCCTTCCCAACTGTCCCCTGTCATGGCCTCCTATCTGGCCCTCTTGCCTCCAGCCTCACCCTAGCCAATTCCATCTCCACGCTGCAGCCAGGGTAATCTTTGTAAAGCACATGTTGCCCGCTTAAAACCCTTGGTCTTGCCTTCAAGGCCAATGACTGGTCTCTCATCCTTCTTGCTTCACTTAACTCTTATGTGTACTTCAAGTCCCAGTTGAATGTCACTTCCTCCGGGAAGCCTTCCCAGACGCTCTCTAACCCCTGCCCCCTCCCTCACCCCACACCCACCTTAGTCTTGCCCTGCAGGCTCTTGATGGCAGCCTCGGCACACAGATAGAAAGCCCCGATGCACTGCGCCTCCAAGCGCGAGGAGTCGAGTAGTGGCACAAGGCGCTGCAGGTCGTCGGGCCCGCGGCCCTGGCTTGTGTCACTGGCATCCACCAGGCAGCGAGCGAAGCGGCCGGGGTCCAGCGAGGCTACGAGCGGCTCCACGAGCGCCAGCGTGCCGGAGCGCTCCACCTCGCGCTCCACCTCCTTGTTGGTTGCCAGCACCGCCACCGCGAGGCAGGCGTGCAGCCGCAGCAGCTCGTCCTCTTTGGAGAAGGCGAGCGGGAAGAGCCACTCGGCGGCGCGCTTCTCCACCATGCGCCGCTGCGCCGCCTGGCCCCCGTGCAGCGCGCAGTTGCCCAGCGCCAGCGCGCAGTGGCGGAGCAGCGCCGGGTCCGTGCGGCGGCACCAGTACAGCACGGCGTCCAGGCCACCGGCCGCCACCAGCCGCTGGCACGTCTCCTCCGAGTGCTTGAACATGTGCTCCAGGATGCCGGCCACGCTCCGCGCCAGCTCCACCGGCTCCCGCTCTTTTGCCAAGTTCAGGATCACGCCCAAACCGATGCGCGCCACGCGGTCCCTGCCGAAAGAAAGTGGGACAGAGACGATGGAATGGCGGTGCCCCCGGGGGAGGTTGGCCACGCCGTGGTCACTTACACCTCTCTGGCGTCACTAGTGTCATATAGGGCATGAGGGAGAGCATTATCCTACCTGCCTCCCGCTTCCACCTCCTGCCCTGGAAGGAATTTTAAGGGTGCTCCATCCAGGCCACACCCATTTCTTCTTACCTCTGCTCCTTCCCCGCAGTGTGTGTCGTGGTTAAGAACCCTAACTCTGGGGGCGCCTGGGTGGCTCAGTCGTTAAGCGTCTGCCTTCGGCTCAGGTCGTGATCCTAGGGTCCAGGGATCAAGCCCCATGTCGGGCTCCCTGCTCCGTGGGAAGCCTGCTTCTCCCTCTCTCGCTCCCCCTGCTTGTGTTCCCTCTCTCGCTGTGTCTCTCTCTGTCAAATAAATAAAATCTTAAAAAAAAAAAAAAAGAACCCTAACTCTGGAGACGATTCCCCTGGGAGCTGGTTTTTTTTTTTTTTTTTTTTTTTCCTAGAGAGCTGTGGGACCTTGAGTGCCTTCCTTTATCTTTCTACCTCAGTTCCTCACCTCTAAATAAAAGGAATACCAACTTCAAGGGTCATTATGAGAAGGAAGGTGATAATCCATGTAAAGTGCTTTCCACAGTGCCTGGCACATAGGGAACACTCACTAAATGTTAACTTATCATCATTTGAAGCATCACTCGAAGTACACCCCTCTTAGCCTTGCCCTCAAACCTCTCTTCACTCCACACAGTGTGACTGGAGTGTATTTATTCATTCACTTGACAGATGTTTATTGAGGAACTACTGTGTGCCAGGCACTGTGCTAGGGACTGAAGCTGAACAGTGACTAAGAGTGCCTGGAACTTATACACAGCTAATATGGAGACAAACAATAAGCACGTGAACAATGAGCGAACAGGCCACAATGCTAGCAAACGCAGGTGATGTAATGGGCACTGTTTGGGCGGAGGAGGAGATGACATTTTAGAGTACGATATCCAGAGACTCCTGCCTGCAAGTATCTGGGAGAAGGGCATTACAGGCAGAACCTTAGCAAGGACAAAAGCCCTGAGGGCTGGTGAGCTTGGCATGTTTGAGGAAGAGAAAGAAGGCCAGAGATATTTGCGATGTTTAAAACCAACAATGAAAAATATAAAAGCAGCAAGGATTCATAAATAGAATATATAGTAAAGTCAACAAAAAAAAGGTAGCAAATTCAGTAGGGAATGGTGAAGGATATAAATGGCAACTTACAAAAGAGAATATCCAAAATGTTAACAAGCAAATAAAGAGATGCTCTAATTCATTAGTAATCAGTGAAGTGAAAATTAAATCAGCTATCACTTTACACTTATTGGATAGGCAAAAAGCAGAAGCTGGGTAACAGAGAAGGTTGGCGGGGTGTGGGGCCATGAACACCCGGAAGCTAGAGGTGTGTGCTGAGGCAGTCAATTTGGAAAGCAGGCTGGGATGGGTGGGTGAAGTTAAAGAGATATGCACCCTATGAGCCAGAAATTGAGGCTTTTGAGTTAAATCCCAAAGAAATTGTCACAGATCCACAAAGGAATGTGGAAAAGGCTGTTCACTGCAGGGCTGTTTGTGGTGAGGGAAGATGGCGGTGGTCTGGGTGTCGAGCTTGGAAGAGTGGAGAGGTAACATGGGCAGGTGCCCTCTCTGGAAGACTATGGAGCAGTTACAAGGGACTGAACAGATGATACCATAGCACATGAAGCCTCTTAAAAACAATACGGAGTGGGTGAAAGTATGAACCGGAATGTGCTATATAACACAGCACCATTTGTGTAAATTAAAAATACATGCGCACAAAACAAGAATAAAGATTTTACCAGGATGCAGATATAAAGCCACACATTAAATATATTGGATGGGTGCCTAGGGCATTGATTTGGAAAGAAGGTGGGACATTCATGAAGAGGAGAAGGGGAGATTGTGGAGATGGTATTCTAGGCGCAGATGCATGCAAAGGCTTGGAGGTATCTGAGAGCTGGTGCTCTTGGGGACTTGCCCCCACCTTAGCCATGCTGAAGTGAAGCCATTTCTAGTGGCTGAGGAGGAAGGTTCAAGAGGAGAGAAGGGAAAGGGTCCTGGGGGCCTTCTGAGCCCCCTCCAGGCATTTGTACTTTATCTTGGTGGCAAATGGGGAGCCACTGAAAGGCTTCAGGAAGGGGAGAGACCTGCCCTTACATGGGTTTTAGGAAACATTCTGACTGCTCTAGGGAGGAAAGGTCCAAGGGAGGGAGCCTGGATGCCAGCAGAGCAGGCAGAAAAGTTGCCACACTCTAGGCAGAGGTGAAAGTTTTGTGTCTTCCTGACCTCCACAAATGATGTCCTCCACAACTGACATTACCCCCAAAGACTTAGAGGCTCAGCGTCCCTGCCCAGTGAGCATCACAGTGACACTTGTGTCTTTGTGTCCACTGCAGGTCCCAGCTGAGCCCATAACATGGCACAACAACTTGGCTGAGTTGATCACTGAGCTTGCCCAGAAGTCCAAAAGAATAGGTGGGTTCTAATCATTCACTTGTTCCTTTTATCAATGAGAAAGCCAAAGTTCAGAGAGTTTACATGACATGCTCAGAGTTACACAGCTGGTGAGAGGCATAGCTGGGGTCTGAACCTGCATCTGTCTGTCTTCAAAGGTCAAGATTCTTCATCTATACTTTTGCTTCCAGAACAGTCTGACTACATAAACTCTGATAATATCAGAACCAGGATGTGTTTAAGCAATAATCTAATCCAACACTCTCATTTCCTGAGGACCAGTGAAGGGAAGGCCTTGCTCAGGAATATCAATTCAGAGAGGACTTTATTCTTTTTTTGCTTTGTTTTGTTTTTTAAATTTTTAAATTTTTATTTTTTATTTATTTGAAAGAGAGAACGAAGGAGAAGCAGACTCCCTGCTGAGCAGGGAGCCTGACCCGGGGCTCGATCCCAGGACCCTGGGATCATGACCAGAGCAGAAGGCAGACATCTAACCTACTGAGCCATCCAGGCACCCCGTTTTTAAATTTTTTTAAGAGGGGCGCCTGGGTGGCTCAGTTGGTTAAGCGACTGCCTTCAGCTCAGGTCATGATCCTGGAGTCCCGGGATCGAGTCCCGCATCAGGCTCCCTGCTCAGCAGGGAGTCTGCTTCTCCCTCTGACCCTCCCCCCTCTCATGTGCTCTCTCTCTGTCTTTCATTCTCGCTCTCTCAAATAAATAAATAAATAAATAAATAAATAAAATTAAAAAAGAAATAAAAAAATAAATTTTTTAAAGAGGACTTTATTTTCGGGGTGTCTGGATGGCTCAGTCAGTTGTGTCTGCCTTCAGCTCAGTTCGTGATCCCAGAGTCCTGGGATCGAGCCCCGGGTCAGGCTTCCTGCTCAGCGGGAAGCCTGTTTTCCCTCTCCCTCTGCCTGCCACTCCCCCTGCTTGTTCTCTCTCTCTCACTGTCAAATAAATAAATAAGATCTTAAAAAAAAAAAACAAGAGGACTTTATTTTGAGTCTGTTGACCCCCCAGCTCTCCCCTTTCCCTATGCACTTGGCACCTTCACAGAACTTGAACTATGTCCTTGTTGTGAGAACTATATACTCAGCTCCCAGCTTCTGCAGCCTGAGAGGCTATGGGTCTGGGTTCAAATCCCAGCTCCAAAGGAGGGAGGAAATCATACACATACACGTACAAGCATGTATATATAATATACATATATGCGTAAATCCTTGTATGCCTAGAATTTCTCTGGAAGGACATACTGTGCAAGAAAATTGTTTTGTTGGTTTTCGTCCAGGGAGGGGGTCTGGGTAGAAAGAAAAATTCTTAAGTGTGTGACTGTTTTGTACCTTTGCCCTTTTTGAATTTATATGCCATAGCTTTCTGTTCTATTTTTTAAAGATTTTATTTATTTATTTAACAGAGAGACACAGCGAGAGAGGGAACGCAAGCAGGGGGAATGGGAGAGGGAGAAGCAGGCCTCCTGCGGAGCAGGGAGCCCGACGCGGGGCTCGATCCCAGGACTCCAGGATCATTACCCGAGCTGAAGGCAGACGCTTATCCATCTGAGCCACTGAGGCGCCCCTGTTTTGTTTTATTTTTTAAACATGTCTCCACCACTTATTCACTGTGTATTTTTGGGAAAGCCATTTAACCTGAGTTAAACCATTTAACCTAATTATGGTCTCCTGATGGGGCTGGGCCATAAATTTCAAAGGCTAGCAGTCACATGGGGGCCCTCACTGGTGTCATGGGACCAAGTTCAGAGGGTCCTACCCTGTTGGACTTCTCTTGGCATTTGGGGGTGAGGGACGCTGTGATCTAGGCTCCTGGGCAGTGGGTGTAGTAGCACGCTGGGAAGACGGGAATGAGAAAAGGAGTGGGTGCACTGATTGAGGAACTCTCTTTAAGAGGAGTTTGGTTGATGAAAGAAGGGCAAGATTTCATAAACACAGGTTCTCAGTGTATCACCTCCCTTCCCTCTTTTCCAGCCTCCGCCCAGAGCAGTCTAAAGGGTGAGGAGATTCTGCCTTTCTTTGGAAAAAATGATGGCGACGGGGCTTGCTGGACTCTGTCCTTGGTCCTGAAGTGCTGTCAGGACTAGTGCGTGGTTTCCTGAGACCAGGGACGATGCGGAGTGTGACTCCTCCCTCAGTAATTCTGAACCAGGTGTTGTTTATTTTCAACCTTGAAAAACATCAGTGCAGTCTGCATCGTGCAGCCCTCCTCTTCCTAGAGTGTTGGCAGCACCGCTTCCCCAAGGGTTCTAATTATAGCGACCACGCCCCACATACCAGGCTACCAGGTACGGCCACCCTGTGCCCACTACAGGGAGCACCCACTCTGTTTGCTAGCCCTCCAAATGTACTGATGATTGATCTTAAACGGGAAATTAATGACTTGCTGAGTAAGCAGACCCTAACTTGCTCTCCCCAACTTAAACTGCTTCATTCATGCATTTTTGACAGTTGTATCACTACCACCGTCCACAAGGTTATGTTTAATTTTTTTAAATGGTAAGGGGGGAAAAAAAAGAAAATGGTAAGGAAAGCACCCTTAACCCATGCCCATCACACTTGTGAGAGCTGCATGAATTGAAAGTGACCCTTCCCAAACCCTTCTAAATCTGAGGGGCCTGGGAATTCAGCATGTGACCACTGAGTGACAGTTTGGTCTGCTCTGGCATCAGAGGGGAGAGGAAGTGACTGCAAGGGTCCTCATATTCCAGGGGAGATCCCAAGAGGCAGGCAAGAGAGGGGCAGCCAGACCCCAGCTGGACCCCCCTACTGTATCTTGGCCCTATGCGGGGAAGGGACAGAGAACCCATACTCTGGCCTCTGCCTAGCTCCTCACCTGTGTCCTCTTCTCTCACCCATTCATCCCACTAGAAAACCTTCTGTGCCCCATTAGCAGCCGCAGAATGAGATCATGTCTGGCCTGTTACGTGGGCCAAACTGGAGAAGGAGGAAGCAGGAGGTGGATTGGGGGTGGCATAAAGGGGGCAAGTAACCCTCAGATCAGTACTCACTTCTGTAATCATTGCCCCTCCTCCTACCCCATGTCCTGAGCATTGTGTTCTCTTCCTTTCTCAGTGGCGGAGAAGGAAGCCTAGAAGGGCACCCGGGCCTGTAGGGAGGAGCTCTGTGGGTTTAGGCGGCATTGGCAGCAGGATCCCAGCTCCATCCTGAGAACCAGGGACAAATTCCTGTCCTACCACTCTGCTCTTCCTGTTCCTGTCCCATTCCTCACCCCAACAGTCCTGGGAGTGAATCCCGGCTGCACCATCAGTTCACACTGCGTTGTGACTCCGGGCAAGGCATGAAATTTCCCAAGCCTCATTTTCCTCGTTTGTAAAATAGACAAGCTGATCCCCAGCAGGGGTGTAGTACAGGGATGCGGTGAGGCGAGGCGGGAAAAGTCGCACCAGAGACCCGGGCCGTGGACCGCCCTTGCTGCCCCACAGCACCCCGCGCTCTCCCCTCAGCCCGGGAGCACCCTCACCGGTTCTCAGCCACCAGGATCTGCTCCAGCAGGCGGGCGGCCTGCACGCGCGTCTCCAGCTCCCGCGCCTGCAGCAGTCGCAGCAGCAGGTCGAGGCCGCCGTCCAGGCGGATGGCGTCGCACAGACCCTGGGCTACCTCTCGGCCCACGGCCGGAAGCAGCCAGGCCTCCTCCACCAGCTGGAAGACCTCCGCCAGGCCGGCGCCCACGGCCCGCGCGCCCGCCGCCTGCTTCAGCGCCGACAGCGCCTGCTGCAGCTCGGGCAGCGCGCGCTCCAGGGCACCCTGCACCTCGGAGCCTGCCCCGGGCGACACCTCGCGGGGCCCGCGGCCGCCCGCGGTCCACCATGGGCCCGCGCCGCCGCCCCCGTCCGGCCCCGGCACCGCTAGCCGCTCACCGCCTGGCCGTCGGCCCGACATGGTGAAGAAGCGGCACAGCTTGTAGGCGGAGAGGAGCAGCGTCAGGACCATGGGCGCGGGGCTGCGGGGGACATCCCCGGTCCGGAGGGGCGGAGCGACCCGGCACTTGGGGAACGGGGGACAGGACAGGGGTCCAGGGAAAAGAAGGTGCAGGAGGGAGGGTTGGATAGAAGGCTACCTACCAGGCAAGGGCGCTGGCCAGAAGCCTGGGGGAGGGGCGAGGGCAGGATCTGGGACGGAGCTTTTGGGTGAAGGGGTGCGGGCCCAGATGCAGGGCGTGGGCGGGAGCGAGAGGGGAGCGAGGGATGGACCCTGACGCTGGCGGGTCTAGAAGGCAGCAAGAACAAAGCGCGGCTCCAGCTAGGAGATGCTCTGCAGCAGCCCCGCCCCTGAGAAGCCGCAGCCGGGGAGCTGACACCCCGCCTCTCAGTCACGTGGGACTCTTCCCCGGCCTCCTGAGTAGCCTCACCCCCAGGCTTTCCCCAGCCACAGCCACGCCTACGCCCACGCCCTGCGGTGGGGTGGGGATGGCGACTAGGGGGAGAGGGTGCAGAGCGGAAGGACTGCCTCGGTTTCCCCCGCAAACCCCATGACACTGCAACGTGACGGCAACACCGTGGAGCGTGCCCCCTCCCCTAACAGTGGTTCAAGCAATCATGGTAGCAGACCCTTTATGCCTGTTTCTCAATGAAGCCTTAAGACAGGCCTAAGGGGTAGGGATTAGTGTTCCCATTTAACAGCCAAACTGACTGAAGCTCACAGAAAAGAGATTGCCCAAAGTCACACGCCCCTCTCTGATTATGGAACTGAAAAAGTCAGTTGGAAACTCCGACAATCATTTTTTCCAGGTGGTGCCAGGATTTCAGGAGGCCCAATGGGCCCCTGACAGTGGGCACAAAATCAGGCCTTCTGTGCCAGGGGTATTTTCTGGAAAGAGGGATGCTACTTAGTCTAAAAGTGTGGGGAATGAGGCTATTCTTTACCCACAGGGAATCTGAAGGTGGAGACAGAGCAGTGCCTACCAAGGAGCAGTGAAATATGGGGAGACTAAGGAATCAAATCCAGTCCAAACGGTTTGATTCACCCAATTTTGCTGTGCTGTGAAGCCCAGCTTGGGAAAATCAATGCATCCAAGAGTTGAACCTAAACACGAAAATGTTTTTTTATGATAAAAAAAATCCCCCCAGGATGCTTACCAGCATTCCTCCAACGCCCCCCCCCCCGCCCTTTCACTGCCCTAAATACACAGTGGGTGGGTGAGACAGTCAGGGATGTGCCAGATCAAACAGATCACAGATAAATAACCGGTTATGGAGAATGAAGCTGGCGCTACTCCAGGCACTGGGAATTTCGTCTGCTTTAGTTTGTGTAACCCCCAACACAACAGGAGGCAAGCATTATTAATCTCACTTAACCAAAAAGAAAGCCAGGGCAGGTGAAACCATTTGCCCAAGGTCACAGCCTGTGAGTGGCACAGTGGGCCTTCTTTATATTCTCCAGATCCACTGTGCTGTTTCCCTTCTGATTTGATGCGGAGCTTGGCAAGGATCCTATTTACAGTTCTCCCAGGCCCGGAGTTCCAGGAATGTGACCCTTTGCTGCAGCAGCCTCTGGGGTCCAGGGCATTGGGGGCTGGGCCAGAGATTGAGCAAACAGCAGAAAAGGCACAGCTCTTTTTCTCTGGCTCCCGCCCTCCCAGTCCCCACCTCGCCCTCCCTTCTTCAAGCATCGAAGCGCGCAGAGCCCAGTTCACCAGGCTAGAAGCTAGGGGCCTGCCATGGCCTCCCCAAGGCCCCTGCTGCTGCTAGTCCTGCTGGCCTGCGCTGTTCTGGCTGACCAAGGTGCAGAGGGGATTGGCGGCTGTTCGGGCCAACGGAGGGTGGGCAAGGGTGGTCTGGGCTTGGCCATGCCAACTAACACCTCCTCCCCACAGAGTCCTGCACGGGCCGCTGCACAGAGGGCTTCAACGCTGACAGGAAGTGTCAGTGTGATGAGCTCTGCTCTTACTATCAGAGCTGCTGCGAGGACTATGTGACCGAGTGCAAGCCCCAAGGTGCGTCCAGAAGGGCTGGCTGGGTCCGGGGTCCCCTCTGCAGCTGGACACTCACCACCACCCACTCTGCCCGCAGTGACTCGTGGGGATGTATTCACTCTGCCAGAAGATGAGTATGGGGCCACTGACTACCCCGAGGGGTCGAGAGGGAGCGTCCTCACACAGCCGGAGAGCACCATGCTGAGCCCTGGCCTGCAGACCCAGCGTGAGGAGTCTCCTGCCCTGGTACCTGTTCTGATCACTGAAGAAGAGGCTCCAGGACCTGAGCAGGAGACCTCAGGGCCTGAGACCCATACCGAAGACATCCCTGAGTCCCCAGCAAAGGAGGAGCTATGCAGTGGGAAGCCCTTTGATGCCTTCACTGACCTCAAGAACGGCTCCCTCTTTGCCTTCCGAGGTGATTCCAGGGGCATGTCTTGGGGGTAGGGGTCTGCCCCTGGAACATCCCCTCCCTCACACAGCCTCCCGCACTCTAGGGCAGTATTGTTATGAGCTGGATGAAGAGGCAGTGAGGCCTGGGTACCCCAAGCTTATCCGAGATGTCTGGGGCATTGAGGGCCCCATTGATGCTGCCTTCACTCGCATCAACTGTCAGGGGAAGACCTACCTCTTCAAGGTACCAGGCCTGGGGGCTGTGGGTCAGGGTCAAGGGTATCTAGGCAGGGGTGGAGGGCTGCTGTGCCCAGGACTAGGGTGGGCAGGAAGGCTGGATCCCAGCCTGTGGTCCCTGACTGGGGCTCTTGAGGACAGGGAAGCCCAGGGCTCCAGGTCCCGGGCGACAAGCCTAGAACTGGGACTGCTGCCTTGGGTGGGGGACTCTGCCTGTGCCCAGCCAGCTACCTCCTCACTCCCTCCTCCTTCTCTACCCCTTAGGGTAATCAGTACTGGCGCTTCGAGGATGGTGTCCTGGACCCAGATTTCCCCCGCAACATCTCTGAAGGCTTCAAGGGCATTCCGGACAACGTGGATGCAGCCTTCGCTCTCCCTGCTCATAGCTACAGTGGCCGGGAGCGGGTCTACTTCTTTAAGGGTACTAAGGGAGTGGGTGCGAGAAAGAGCAGGCAGTGGGGTGGTCTTGGTTTGCCTCCACACTCCTCTAGGGGCAGGGTCAAACTAGGCTTGCCCCCTGCCAGGAGTTCCTATCTTCAGCAGCCTTGGGGCTGGCTTTCCAGCCTTGCTCACACGTCCCCCCCCCCCACCTCCCGGCTTCCCCACTCAGGGAGACAGTACTGGGAGTACGAGTTCCAGCAGCAACCCAGTCAAGAGGAGTGCGAAGGCAGCTCCCTGTCCGCCGTGTTTGAACACTTTGCCCTGCTGCAGAGGGACAGCTGGGAGACCCTCTTCGAGCTTCTCTTCTGGAGCAGACCCTCTGGTATGGAGGGAGGGCAAGTCTCACTTTCACCTCCTGGGACCCTCTGGGGATGGGCAGGGCACAGCAGGCCAGAGGGGGCTGTGATTGCAGAGCTATGGATCAAAAGCTGTTTGCTCAGGCCAGACTTTGTTTCTGTTGACCTTTGGGGGGGAGGTCCACCTGGACCCCACACAGTGGACTTTGCCTAGCACAGCCAAGGGCATAGACGGCAGGAGGAGTGGCCGTGGCTGAGGCAAGTGGGGAGGGCTGTAGTGGAGGAAGGCCAGGAGAAAGAGCACTGAACGGGGAGTCAGAGGGCCCGGGCACTGTGCTCTGCCATGAGCTTGCGGTGTCCTTGGGCAAGGCACACAGCCCACTGTTGGGCACCAGATGAACTCTACAGGCCTCCAGGGTTCTTATTAACCCATCCCCTGCCACAGGTGGTGCTGGACAGCCCCGGTTCATCAGCCAGGACTGGCCTGGTGTGCCCTCGCAGGTGGATGCGGCCATGGCTGGCCGCATCTACATCTCAGGCTCAGCTCCCCGATCCTGGGCCAAGAAGCCCAAGTCTAAGCGGCGTAGCCGTAAGCGCTACCGTTCACGCCGTAACCGTCACCGCGGCCGAGGCCGCAGCCAGAACCCCCAGCGGCAATCCCGTTCAACCTGGCTGTCCTGGTTCTCCAGTGAGGAGAGCGGCCTGGGCACCTACAACTATGATGACTACGACATGGACTGGCTTGTGCCTGCCACCTGCGAGCCCATCCAAAGTGTTTACTTCTTCTCACGAGGTGGGAGCCTCTGCCATCCTTGGAGCTCGTCTAGCTGGGTCTTCCCTGCTGTCCCTGGTCCCGCGTGGGCTGAACATGGCCCTTGGGTGGTGACTCCAGAAAGCCAGGGTGGGAATCCTTAGCTGCATTTTGGATGTTCACTTACCCTTCCAGGAAAGACTCCTGTCTTCTTTCTCAGGGCAGGACTGGGCAGGGCCAGGCTGGGTCTCACACACCCTCTCCCGACCTCTCTTCCAGACAAGTACTACCGAGTCAACCTTCGCACACGGCGAGTGGACACTGTGAGCCCTCCTTACCCACGCTCCATTGCCCAGTACTGGCTGGGCTGCTCAGCCCCTGGCCACCACTAGGAATCTGAGCCCACACAGCTGGGCCCTCCACTGCTCCTTCCTCAACCTCTTCCTCCCAGCCCAATAAAGATCCCTCAACCCTGAGTTTAAGACTACTGTCCTGACTGGGGGTGGACAGGCAGGAGACAGGGATCTGCCTGGGGAAAGGAAAGGAGGCTGGGCCGTCACAATGTCTTGGGGGAGGAGAGCCACCTTGTGTCCAGTCCACATTGAGTTCAGGCCCTCTCTGTGAACCCAAAAAGCTCTGGGCTGGGGAGGGCCTCATGAGTGCTAGCCTTCCTCCTGAGCTAAGCAGCCCCTACCAACCTACCAACATTAGCAGGAGCTTGAACCCCACTGATGATGACAGGAGCTACCAAGTGCCCCTCCTAGCCCTGGGCTTGCTTTGCCTCTAGGAATTGACTAGGGTCTTGGAGGAGAGAGAAAGGGCAGAGGGAGGTGGACTTCTGGCTTAGCTTTCCTGCCCATCCTGAGCCTGCAATGTGGTTAGCCTAGGGAAGTGGTGTGCTCCCCCAAACCCACCCCAAAGAAAGGATGAGCCTTTCTCTGAGGCCTCTGTCTCGGGTCTGGGGTGTGCGGTACTGAGGTTAGGAGAGGGAAGGGCAAGAATGCAAAAGAAATTCAAACGCACCCACTTCTCTTAGAAAAGTGGCTCCAAAGACTTACAAGGATGAATACTCTGTAAATACAAACATCTTTCTTAGGATGCCTTGATTGTACCTGTGGAACCTCCTCTGGTTCTAGGTTCCTGGACTCCAAGAAGCCCATTTGGGCTTTCAAAGGGTTGGATGCAGACGAGTCTCTAAAGCAGACCTGAGGGCATGCTGGTAGTGACATCAGCTCCCCAGCCCTGCTGAGGGCGGGGTGGCTGCAGTTCACCTGCTATCCCTGTCACCCCTGTCATCCCCCGTCGTCCCTGTCATCCGGCCCAGCCTTCGGTTGTGGCACAGGACTGCACCCACTCTCCCCTAAAGGTAGCCAGCGCCAGGGCACTGAGGGCTCCAGAAGGGGCAGGTGAAGCACTGGGAGCACTAGAGAGAGGGATTTTTTCAGCTTCCTGGAAGGAGTCCTGGGAAGATTTTCACAAAGTACAGGATTTCAGACACAGACTGCTGGAGTCTGCGGTGTGAGGAGGGGGGCTCGGACCGGCTTCCTTTATGAAGCCCCAGAGGAGCAGGGGCCACAGAAGTTTTGCTCCACCCATACCCACACAAGCCCCAACACTGCCCCTGGCCTCCCCTCCTTCCTCTGGGACGGCTCTGCTCCCCTCAAGCTGGACATGAAACCTCTCCCCTCCTGGAGGCGGGGCCAACCCTCTGAGCAGGATAAAACCCCAGGAAGAGGGGTGTGGTGCGGGCACAGCCTTGGCATGGCCCTCTGGCTCCTCATTCTCCGCCAGCTCCATGGCCAGCCCTGTGGACGCATCCTCACCCGGTGATCTGGTGGGGAAAGGGTGGGCAGGGGGAGAATGTGGGGAAGGTGTGATGGGGGAAGGTGGAAGTGAGGGAGCAGAGTCGGCTGGGAGTTTTGAGGCTGGGATGGAGGCTCTCGCAGGGAGTCCTGGCTTGACTCCTACTCTGGCCCGCAGGCCATGCCAGTGGGTTGGGTTCCCCCCGGAGAAAGCGGACCACCTTCAGCAGGGGGCAGCTGCTGGAGCTGGAGCGGGCGTTTGCAGCACGGCCCTACCCTGACATCGGCACCCGTGAGCACCTGGCTCGGGTCACCTGCCTTCCTGAGGCCAAGATACAGGTGAGCAGTGACCCCCTCTCAGGGTGGGGGTACTCTCGCACAGTCCCTTTTTTCTGGGTTCCCGCCTCCAGGTTTTGCTTTCCCTGTAGCTGGGGAAGGGGGAGCTGGAGCCAGAAGAGATTCCTTTTTCCCTTATCAGGTGTGGTTCCAGAACCGCCGGGCCAAGAGAATCAAGAACAGGAAGGCAGGAGGCCTAAGCCCCAGGCCCGAGCACACCCAGAGAGCCCGATCTCTTCCAGACACCCTCCAGCAGCAGGCCCGGGAGCCCCGAACACTAGGCCAGCTTCCGCCCTCCAACAGCACACCTCAGTGTGCCTCAATGAGTCGACATGCCTCCTGCCCAGCTCCCGGCTTGAGTCCAGGGCAGGGCTGGGCAGGGGCTAAAGCTGTAGCCCCATGGGGACCAGCTGGGGCTTCAGGGGTCCACCTTTCTTCAGAGCGAGCCACTCCCCAAACCTCATTGGGCAGCTTATCTGACCTCATCTATGCCTCCGCCATCGTCACCAACCTGGACCACTCCTAATCGAAGACTAGAACTTGGGAGACCGCTCCTCTGGCTCTGCAGCCCACCCTGCCCCTTAGGGCTGAACACATCAGAAGTGGATCCCCCACCCCACCTGTTACACAAGGGAGTTCTCTTATCAGAAGGAAGGTTAGCTGAGGAATCCCTCCTTCCCACTGTCCTCCAGGCCAGCCCAGAGTCTCCAGGGCCTGGCTCCTGCTACACAGCACCCTGCCCCTCCTGGAGCCTATGCCCATCACCATGGCAGGAGGTACCTTCAGAGAGATGGGGTAAGGGCTGGGTTGTCCACCTCTCTGGAGCCAGGCCTGGCACCCAATTCTCACCCCGGCTGACAACACCTCCTCCCTCCAAAGAACGGGCAGCCGCCCCTCACTTTCAGGCCATTAGCTAGCTGCTAGGTGAGTTCGGTAAGAAGAGCACGGAAACTAATTCCAGACTGCTGGGAACCAGGGCCCCCTCTTCTGACCTACCACCACCTGGACAAATGAATCGGAACCATGGATCTGAAGAGGAAGTGATATTAAATAAAGTAGAAAGAGGAGCCCAGGGCTTACGTTCATTTAATTTTCACAAAGATCAGATTGGCTGCCCTCTGACCTGAGGCTGTGGAAACAACGTGACAGATTTAGCGGGGGGTGGGGGCGTGCACACTGGCAACCTTGGGTTTTCATATCACCATCATCTGTAATACCAACTAATCTCCAAATAAAACCCAAACTCTATACACTTAATCTGGATTGTTGTGTGCTGCAAATGAATGGGGACAAGCGCCGTTTGCTTTTGAGATGTATCTCCATCACCTAATCCCTAAATAGGGCCAGGTTTCACACAGCTCCTGGGTGGGAGGCATTACCCAGGCTTCTACTGGGATTAGAAGGACAGTTAATTGAAGGGCTTAGGGCTGTGGCTGGGAGATGGGAGCCTCTGCCGGCACGTTCCTGCTCCTGCTCCCACGGCTTCCAGGCCGCTCCAGCTGCTTCCACTTCTGGAGCTGCTCTGCTCCAGGAAAGCATGGAGTTTGCAATCAGTCTGGGCTGGATTCAAATCCTGGCTCTGCTATGTAACCCTGCAACTCTCTGAAAGTCTATGAGCCTGCAAAAAATGGGGGGTGATAATACTTGTCTTCTCTCCATTTGGGGAATGAGAAGCAATAATGTTAAGTGAAGGGCTTCATGTGGTGTGATGCGTTATAAAAGCTCTCAATTCACCCGAGGTGCCTTCCCTCTCCATACAGCAGGCTAGGAGAAACTGGGAGAACACCAAACTTCTTGATCATCTGGCCTCCTGCCAAGCACTCCCCTTTTGCCCTGGGAAGCCCTGGGCCCAGACTGCAGTGGAGAAAAGTATGGGGTGGTGAGAGATGGAGGAAGTGGCTGAGCAGAGAGAGTGTTCTTCTCTGTGACGAGAACCGGAGGACAGGCCACTTTATTGCTATCTCCAACTCTGCCCCTGCACGTGGAAAAACACTTTGCACGGTGAAGAATCCCTTGGCAGGAACTAGGTCTTCTATCTCTTGATCTCCAGCAGCTAGCACAGTACTTGGCTCATAAAGGAGTTCTCAGTAAGTGTTCAAGGCCGCAGAAGCCTGCTGACTTGTGAGGAGGGGCTTGGGATCAAGGTAAGGACCCCATTCTAGTGAAAGGGGTGTGTGTGTGTGGAATGACCCCAATCTCAGTGTGAGAACACACCCTGGGGCAGAAGCTGTTTGAGGGGGCCTGCTCTTTATCTAACATTTACAAGCCTTCCAACCTTCCAATCCAGGTATCTGGGGGGCGTGAACGCTGAAGGCTATGTGGGCCCACACGCTACCTGGCCCGCAGAGTTCAGTAAAGTACGACAGCCACGAATCTCCACAGACATTCAGCGTAGCTTTTAAACTCAGTCTTAAATGGTCTGGCTTGCTAGAAACATTATAAAATGCCACCTTAACTTTTTTCTCACAGTTGACATTTCTTTCAACCAACAACAGAAATTCTAAGATTTCTCAACAAAATCATCTATGGTGGAACAGAAGGAATGAACCTTCCCTCTCTCACGTACTGTCTGGGGAAGCTCAGACTGGCTATGTACCAAGTAGAAACTAGCAAGCACTGTAGAGCAAATGTCTACTGAACCCATGAGTGTGTAATTTCTTTCCTCCTTTTTAAAAAGATTTATTTATTTGAGAGAGAGAGAAAATGAGTAGGGGGAGGGGCAGAGGGAGAAAGAGAGGAAGACTCAAGCAGACATCCCCCTGAGCGCAGAGCTAATGCAGGGCTCAATCTCATAACCCATGAGATCATGACGTGAACCGAAATCACGAGTCAGACGCTTAACCAACTGAGCCACCCAGGTGCCCCATGAGTGTGGAATTTCTGAGAACAGAAGAGTACCCTGGGGAGAAAAAACACCATAGGAGTTCATAGTGTGAACAAATGGAAAGGAATATACCATTAGGAACAGACCCTGAACAAATATCAGAACTAAGGAATCTCTGAGCTTGTGTGTTGTCACAAGACTTGAAATAAGAATGCAGTAGATACAATAAATATTTATTAGATAAAAAACTGACAGTTTTAAAGTACCTTTACACAGATTCTATCAGTATACCACTAATCTAAGTTCTCTGAAGTTTAACATTACACGGGGACTTCAGAACAACCTAGCGGTCTTTGGCTCCATTTAACAGAGGAAGGACCACAGCTGGTCATCTGATTTCTCTCAGCCTCAGTTTTGTCTTTGGGAAAAGGGGCCTAAAGTTATTTCCTCTTCCAACCTCCAGGATTGTTATGAAGACCAAAAATAATCACGTAAAACAATTACTCAACTGTGCATTATTTATAAACTATTTTCCGCACTCACCCAAACCCAGATTTTTTTTTTTAAGATCTTATTTATTTGACAGAGAGAGAAACAGAGAGAGAGAGAGGAACACAAGCAGGGGGAGTGGGAGAAGGAGAATCAGGCTTCCTGCCGAGCAGGGAACCCGATGTGGGGCTCGATCCCAGGACCCTGGGATCAAACCTGAGCTGAAGGCAGACGCTTAATGACTGAGCCACCCAGGTGCGCCCCCCAAACCCAGATATTTTAAGAACCTACATAAAATATCCTCCGTCAGGCTTATGTATGATGATATGTATACGTATTCATTATGTATTACGTGTACGTATTCATGTGTATGCTTATTCATATTCACATATACAGTTAAATCTGGAAACGGTCCTTATCTACAAAGAACATCTCCCTTCATTAGCTGAGACAATCCACAGTAGACATACTCTACCTACCAACACACACAAAGCACAAGAGATTTTTCAATTAGAAGCAGACATACTGTTTTGCCATCTAAACTGGTTTCATTTTTGGAGGCAGAGCAAAGGGTGATGGAAAGGTGGGAAGTTTAAGAAGGGCTGGTGAGTGGTAGAGACAGGCAGAAGCATACAGAAAATCTGAAAAAGGCAAGCAGAGGATGAAGACTGAAACGAAGATGCCGGAAAGGTAGCTGCCTAGCTCCCAATTTCACCATCCTGTACCAACCTGTCTTTCTCTTATTTGATGTCCTGTGATCATCAGTTCCTCTTCTGACACAAACTGGAGAAAAGGAATCCTTTCTGCTTTTTTGGAGGTTACTGATCTAAATTACAGGTCTGCAACAAGGATGTGTGGAGCAACGGTGACCATCGATTTATGCACTTGGGGAAGTTCAAGGCAGTATGGTCTACTTCTGGGAAAACCTGGATTCTATTTACTCCTGAAGGAGAAAAACCTAGCCTTGGCAGTGCCCAGATGGACTAGAGAAGGCAGATGGGCACTGGGGTCAGGAGAAGGAACTGAAAGACCAGTTCTTTTCAGTTGTTGTCTGACTCTACTTTATTGCCCCTCTGAAAATTGACAGAGGATGGGGCTCTGGCAGGAAGAGCAGGTGGCCTTGGCTTGGCCCTCTGACTAACCAGAGCTGTGGACAAAGGGCCTGACAAGTTGACTGAGAGTCAGTGATTGGCAGCTGGGAGCCTGAAGTCTCCCAAAACCTGCTCCAGACTTTGATGATGACCCATCAGTTAAAGCTCTCCCAACTCGCCTTCCATCGCCCGCACCATGACATACAGCTCGGCCAGGCCCACCACAGAGGCCACGATCAAGGCAGCCAGTACCCGCTGGGGAGAGAGAGAACCAGGCTTAGGGGATGCACGCCAGCATCCAGCTCTGCAGCCTCTGGCACCTCTAGTAAATATGGGGGGGGGCGCAGGGAGGGGAGAAAACCCAGCCTATAAGTTGGGGGGAAAGGAAGAAAATAGGATCTGGATTCTATTGAGGTTATTATATACTCCCGTGACTGCTGGACAGCTCATATGCTCCTCTTGTTTACTACATAAATTTACTACTTGCTTAATACCTAACTTGTTCAAGGCACCTTTACATATGTCCTCTCTCTCCCACCAGCACTCCCACCCGGAGGACCCTGCCCTGCCCAGTGCCTACTTACTGAGGCCATTTCTGTGAAGATGTATTGGCTTCCAAGGTAAGTGCAGACGAAGGCAGCTGCCACCGTGACAATAAAGTTGAAGATGGTGATGACCAGAGCTTTCATTGACCTCACTTTGGGGAAGAACCCAGGGAAGAAACCTTTAAGTCAGCATCCTCCACGAGGCCCTCTTATCTCAGGGCTGCCTCCCCCATCAACTGGGTTTCCTTCAAACAGCAAGCCTGAATAGCTCAGGCTTAAACCCAGGGCACTGCGGTGGGAAGAACTGCCATGACCAACCCCTCCCAGGGAGAGGCTTTAGCAATGTGATTTCCCAGTACCTCACCTTGCTTTCCTAGGTCACTAAGAGTCCCACCATGCCTTGAATCCTGGGAAAAAGAAAACACAAATGATTCCAAATGGAAGCAGCTCAGAGGCAGCCCAGAGAGTATCCATTTGTCAGTCTGGGCTCTGCTCTATTTCCCAACACATTAACTCTGCCTTCTCCAAGGATTCTGTTGTCGGGGACCAGCTGGATTTTTTTCTGAACCAGAGAGCCAGCATTTCAGAGAAAGGACATAGGTTCCCAGTACCCATCTACTCCTCTCTTGCTCCAGGGTGGGAGCATGTCACAGAACAATAGGGAGCACTGTCAGAAGAAAGGCTCCAAGGCTTATCTCCCCCTCTATGACTTTTAAGAATCAGTCACCATCTGAGCCCAGAGTCTCAGTAAAGGAGTTGGGAATTATATTAGGTTTGTATGCAGCACAGAGCTTCTGTGGTCCCCGACTAGTATAAAAACCAAGCTTCCACGATGTTTTTTCCCTCTGTACCTCTTCCCAGCACAGGGCTCTGCTTTCAAGAGTTACTCAGGCCTTGTACTGAAGAGCAGGACCTTACCTTACAGGTGACATTGTATGTGATCCGTTTATACTCCTCATTGGCCAGCTGTATCTTAATCTTCTCCAAACGGGCCACTAGCTCTGGGTTCTGAGGCAGAAAAATCAAACGAGAAGGGTACTGCCAGCTTGCTAGGAAGCCATGTCACAATCATTGGTTCACTGGTTTCAGGGGGCAAAGCACTGCTAAGAGTGCCAAGAGACCCATGCATTAGTTCTGCCTCCACTGCTTTGGAAACTTTTTTGGGGACATCTGCAAGCTGTCAAGCAGGGAGGACAGTATCTGGTTCCCCCACCCCAGCTCTCAAGGATTTAAAAGACAAATTTTTGAGCCCAAAGGTTGATTCATAAAACTGAATGTATCGTGAATAAGTCCAATTCAGCCAACACCCACTCTCAGAAATATATCCCTTACGTACCCGGGGAGGCTTCACAACCTCTGGGAGATAGATTTCACTGCCTTCTAGGAGCTCATGAAGATATAGTGCGGAACCTGGGAAGAAAAGAGTTTTACAAACATAATGATGCATAGAACTAAGGTTGAAGGCTTAAGATCAGAAAAGGGTCTGACCCTTCTATTTTTTCTACCAAAATAAAACATGGCCATCCCTATTTCAATTCATCTCCAAGATCATTTTCGACTGAGAAGAATTGAGGACAATTCTACAAAAATATACCCTAGTGCGCACAGCTGACTAAGTGTCGGCTCTCAATTATCTTGTGATTGTCTCAGCTAACAAGTAAGCCACTTATATTTGTGTTTAGATTAAGTCACACTGTGGCCACAATAGAACTGCCCTAAATAGGTTTAAGTCACAGTGACGCTAAATACTCAGAGAACAGTGTACTAGATGATCTCTAAGACACTTTTTACTTCTAATAGTTCTAGTAGTTGTGCAGTCTACAAAGGGCACCCTACTTCTGGGTAGGCTATGTTAATTCTGACAAAGGACCTTACAAGCCAGTTTGTCCTAGTCCCTCCCTTTACAGTTAAGGGAACTGAGACCCAAGAAAGAGAAACGACTTCTCCAAGGAGAGTTTGTGGCAGAGCTATGACTAGAACTCAGATGCTACTCCCAGTTCAGGTCTTTCAACACACCTTTCCATCATCCTATGTGGAAAAAAAAAAAAAAAAACTATCAGATTTGAGTTGCTTTTTTTTTAAAGTTTTTAAAAAAGATTTTATTTATTTATTTTTGACAGAGAGACAGAGAGCACAAATAGGCAGAGAGGCAGGGAGAGGGAGAAAGAGGCTCCCTGCTCAGCCCCACCCTGACGTGGGGCTCGATCCCGGGATCCTGGGATCATGACCTGAGCCGAAGGCAGCCACTTAACCGACTGAGCCACCCAGGCGCCCCAGATTTGACTAGCTTTTGAGATGCAAAGAAATCCAGATTCCCAAACAGGACAAGCTCACTCTCCTAAGTTGTTTTCTAATGTGGCTTAAAAGGAAGAAACTGAACTTGTGCGGCGGTACTGGGTTATAACTGGACTTCCTCAAAGGTAAGGAGGCCCTAAGGCGGCCTGGTAGTGAAGAGGAGACTCTCAAGAGAGCAGAAACTGCACAGGTAAATTTTGTCACCCACGAGAAATCCCCGTGGAAGCTGTTAAGGGAGTGGGTTGTCCTACGGTTTATGAGGTGACTCTTGGGTTGGCTAGATGACCGTTCCGCGGGTGGAGGAGAGTGATGGATTTTTTTTCTCCCTCACAACGATGCTAGAGGTGGGAAAGGACTAAGGAGGGAAAAGACTCTGGAAAAAGGGAGGCGAGTCCGGCCCAGAAACTGCGGCTCACCCCTCTCTCTCAGGTACTGATGCAGCTCTCGGATCAGGCGGAAGGAAACCAGGCGCACGGAGCCACTGGGAAGATCACCGTCCTTGTGCTTCTTCCCCAGCGCGGCTTCAAGTTCTGCCCGCAGCTTCCGGGGAAGCTGCTCTGGCTCCAACTCCCCACCGGGGCTCAAAGCGCGAACCAGACGCTCGCCCGCCAGCAAACAAGACGCCATGTCCAGCGGACTTACGGTCAGGTGACCGGGGTCCGGGACTTCCGCCCACCGCGCGCCGGAAGGAGCTTGGAGTTCACGGGGCGGGATAAGGCGGGGCAGAGGGCCAAGGGGGCGGGGACGCGGCGCGGGGCAGTGTGGGGCGGGGGCAGAACGCCTCTGGCCGCGGGTTGGGCACCGTGTCAGCGGCCGAGCGGGGCGCTCGGGCGGGATATGGCGGGCTGTGTGGCCCGGCGGGCCCTGGCCGTGGGCAGCCGCTGGTGGTCCCGCTCGTTAACCGGGGTCCGGGGGCCGAGGCCGCTCTGTGCGTCGGGTGGAGCTGGGGCCTTCCCACCAGCGGCGACCACGACGACGCGGAGGCACCTCTCGTCCCGGTGAGGGACGGAGCGCGGGGCCCGTACGGGGAGCCCAGGGAGCGTGTGCCGGCCAGGGAGGAGGCCGGGCCGGCCGAGGGTGGTTGGAGTTCGACCCGGGAGAGGGTCCCGGCCGGGAGCCGACCTGCCCTGCCTGGGATGTGTGCCAGGAACAGAAGGGAGCGCGGCCCAGAGCCCTGGGTTACGCAGGACTGGCTCTGAGGGGGAGCTAATAACCCTCCCGGAGCGAATCCTCCCTCCCCAAATGGGGATCTCGAGCGCTGTTGTTAGTGGGCAGCCTTTTAATTAAGCCCTAGGGCTCTTGACTTGAATCCCCAGCCCCGGATTGGGACAAAGCCACCCTTAGAAGAATGCTCTAAGTGGGAAACTGGACTCTTGAGAATGAGCCCTGCGTGGGTTCCGGGTTTCAGCGTGACCTTGGGGAGATTGGTTCTTTCTGTGTGACTTGGGGAGGGGGCTTGAGGCTATGGGGAATGGTGTGAACACTGTCTCTAGCTATGGGACAGGCAGGTCAAACTGGGTTTGGAGGATCAAGTGAGAGGAAGGAAGCATAAGGTTCACATCTCCAAAATGCTAAGAATAGCAGACCTTGGAAGGACCCCTAGAAAGAACAGCCCTGTCCAGAGAGACCACTGAGAGAACTGACATTTTGGTGGCTGAAATTAGACACTGGTATTGGGGAGAGATGATAAGTATTTGCAGTGTAAGATCCCTGTGAAATGTGACGTGAATCTGAACAAAAACTAGATTGAGAGACTACTAGGTGCAATGCAGGGAGTGCAGTAGGACATTTGGAGAGGATTGCTAAGCAGTTCAAGGGCAGAGTGAAGGCTGCAGTTTCCAAGGGTAGACAGAGATGGAATTATACAGAACAAATATTTCACACACAGTGGCTCTGAGGGGGAACACGGCTAATCAGACACAGGCATTGCTCCCAGGGAACCTGAAGTCTCTAGTGGAGATAAGACATGGGCACAAATAACAGAAATGCAAGGTGGGAAGGGTGGTTACAATGCTGTGGGAGGTCAGGAGGGTGGGTCAGGGAGGACAGAGAGGCAAGGGGTATAAATAAGCAGGGTGCGAGGGCATGATATGAGGAATGCTGAGAGTGAAGAGAGAAGAAAGTGATTGGGGAGCAGTCAGACCTAACACAGAAACTGAGGGAGGGCCTGTGGCTGGACCTCAAAGGGGGAAAGGCAGAATCTGGAGTGGTGGTTTGCGAGGACACTTACCTGTCTCATCTGCCACACTGCTTCGACCCTTCGCTGCTCTCACTGCCTGGCCCCTCAGTCTCCTAGTAGCTTTTTCTGATGGGATAGGTAGCATTACCTTCTCAGCTTTTCAGCTGCTTGTTATTTTTCTTCCTCATCAAGAAACCGACCAGAGGGCAAAGTTTTGGAGACGGTTGGTGTATTTGAGGTGCCAAAACAGAACGGAAAATATGAGACCGGGCAGGTGAGTGCTGGGCTGGGTCATCTGTCATTTCTTTTCTTTTCTTTTCTTTTCTTTTCTTTTCTTTTCTTTCTTTCTTTCTTTCTTTTTCTTTCTTTTCTTTTCTTTTCTTTCTTTCTTTCTTCTTTCTTTTTTCAAAGATTTTTATCCATTTATTTGACAGAGAGAGATAGAGCAGGAACACAAGCAGGGGGAGTGGGAAATGGAGAAGCAGGCCTCTGCCGAGCAGGGAGCCTGATGCAGGGCTCGAACCCAGGATCCTGGGATCATGACCTGAGCCAAAGGCAGACGCTTAGCAACTGAGCCACCCAGGTGCCCCTCATCTGTCATTTTCAGGGTACACCCTGCTTCTGTAAGGGTCAGTTTTGGTCATAGGCCTGAATGTTACGGTTTTCTGCCTTGGTGTTTAGTGCCAGACCAGAATCACAAATTTTTTAAGATGGGGTTTCTGTTTTCTTGGATGTGAATCCTCTTCATGTGTCAGTGGGTACCCTTTCCAAGTTAGTGTGAACAGAGAGATTTTTTTTTAAAAAGATTTTATTTATTTATTTGACAGAGACACAGTGAGAGAGAGAGAGAGCACAAGTAGGGGGAGTGTGAGAGGGAGAAGCAGGCTCCCCACTGAGCAGGGAGCCCGATGCGGGGCTCAATCCCAGGATCCCGGGACCATGACCTGAGCCAAAGGCAGACGCCTAACGACTGAGCCACCCAGGTGCCCCAGAGATAATTTTTTTTAAAGATTTTGTTTATTTGAGAGAGAGAGAGAGAGAGCAAACGAGCACATGAGCAGGGGGGAGGGGCAGAGGGAGAGGGAGAAGCAGACTCCCCGCTGAACAGGGAGCCAAATGCAGGACTCGATCCCAGGATCCTGGGATCATGACCCGAGCTGAAGGCAGATGCCTAACCGACTGAGCCACTCAGGTGCCCAGGACAGAGATAATTTGAACCAAAGTGAGGAGGGGGCCAGGTTGTTAAAGAATCCTGTAATTTAGTGGAAGGTGGGAAGCCAGTGGGGGGAGCTTTCAGAAAAGCACACCTGTGGGGTGCCTGGGTGGCTCAGATGGTTAAGCGTCTGCCTTAGGCTCAGGTCATGATCTCAGGGTCCTGGGATCGAGCCCTGTATCGGGCTCGCTGCTTGGCAGGGAGCCTGCTTCTCCCTCTCCCTCTACTGTTCCCCCTGCTTGTGCTCTCTTGCTCTCTCTGTCAAATAAATAAAATCTTAAAAAAAAAGAAAAAAGAAAAGCACACTTTTGGGGGCGCCTGGGAGGCTCAGAAGTTTCAGCGGCTGACTCTTGCTTTTGGCTCAGGTCACGATCTCAGGGTCCTGGGTTCGAGCCCCGCATCTGGCTCTGTGCTGGGTGTGGAGCCTGCTTAAGATTCTCTTTCTCCCTCTCCCTTTCCTTCTCCCCTTCCTCCCTAAGGAAAAAAAAAAAAGAGTAAGAAAAAAAAGGAAAGCAAACCTTTGATACTTTGTCATAGTTGAACTGATTGTGGTGTAATATACGCTGTGGGTGTGAGGCTCTTGTTTTTGGATCGACTTTGTGCCAGATCCACTGAGATAGATTTAGGCCCCTTGTAAGTAAGGACTTCTTGTTTATTCAGCTTCCCACTCCCCTTTTCTTGTATGCCTGCAGCGGACCCGGGTGTTTGGGTGTTGGACTTGAACCAGAAAGCAGTGCCTTCGTAGATTTGGCAGTCTAGAACGGAATTACGATGGGGTCAGTGGCTATGCACTGTGCTGAGTGGATGGGAGGTCAGGGAAGTCTTCCTAGGGCTCTAAGCTACAGTCTAAAGGATCAGCAGAAGTCAGCCAGGTGAAGAGGGGGTAAGAGTGTCCGAAGCTGGTGGGGGTGGACCACAGAGTTCAAGAGAAAGATCGGCAGGGCCTCACACTGGGGTTGCAGCTACCTGTCCTGCTTAGCAATCTGAGTCCCACCTGGAAGGACTTGTGGACTGCACACTCACTGAGGCTCTCTTTCCTCTTAGCTCTTCCTTCATAGTGTTTTTGGCTACCGAGGTGTCGTCCTGTTTCCCTGGCAGGCCAGACTATATGACCGGGATGTGGCTTCTGCAGCTCCAGAAAAGTAAGTACCCCCGTCATTGTGCCTCACAGTACCCTCAGGAGGAGCCCTGACTCATGGCTGACGTAAGTAATTGGGGTCCCAGGGGGGAATTCAACATCCTCCTGGGCCATTGGAACAGTCTCAGGTTACTTTCCGGACACCATGGAGACAAAAGTGCTGAGTGCCAGGGACAGTCTTAAAAACCAGAGGGTCCCTTTAGGTCTCCCCAGGATGCTTTCCCAAGCTGTTCTCTGTTGCATTATAAGTAGCCCACAAGGTGTTGAGGGACTAATCTTCTCGACTTTTTGACATTCAGTTAGAATCTTTCTTTCAATTTCTTATCACTAGAGTACATTAAAAAAGAAAAGGCCTAGTTCCATTAAGTAATCATAGACCACTTCAGGGATGTGAGAAGAGTGGGGTACTCGGGGCTTCAGGGGTGGAACCAGCAATTTGATTTTCTCAACATGGTCCCCTTCTTCCAAGAAGCAGCCAGAGAGTAAGGCAAATGGAGACTCTGTGCCATGGGTCCTCCATATTTCCTTCTTGGCCTCTGACTGGGGAGGGGCTGGGCCCGGGTGTTGCTGAGCAGGTTCAGATCAGGTACTAACTAGTCTGTTTAGGTAAGGAGGTGGTAGGGAGCTAGGGCAGGCACCACTTCTGTTTCTCTTGGGGTGATCTTGGGCTTTTTCTCCTACCCTCTAGAGCAGAGAATCCTGCCGGCCATGGCTCTAAGGAGGTGAAAGGCAAAACTCACACTTACTATCAGGTGCTGATTGATGCCCGAGACTGTCCACATATAGTAAGTAGACAAGATGGCTGGGCCTGGGGTTTCTCTCCATAGGAAAGGCCTGAACCTGAGGGGGACAGAGGGAGGGAGAAGGGTCAGAGAGAGCCCAGCCTGGGCCCCAAGTTCTCAGGACTGGGTAGTGACTAAGAAAATCTCTGACTCATTTCTTGCCTCAGTCTCAGAGATCTCAGACAGAAGCTGTGACTTTCTTGGCTAACCATGATGATAGCCGGGCCCTCTATGCCATCCCAGGTGAGTAGTGAGCATCTATCTGGTGTATCTCAGTGAGAAGATTCTGATGCCTTTCCGATGTCCTTTAATCTGCTAGGAGGGATTGTAGAAGCTGAGAGCAACGGTGCCAGGCTCGTCCCACCTTGAGACAAGGCCAGGCATTGTGTTCTTCTCAGCTTTGTTCCTCCTTTTTCCTCTGTGAGTTTCACTGTTTCTTTTCCCTCTCTGTGCCAGGCCTGGACTATGTCAGCCATGAAGACATCCTCCCCTATACCTCCACTGATCAGGTTCCCATCCAGCATGAGCTGTTTGATAGATTTCTTCTGTATGACCAGACAAAAGGTGAGCTCTCTCAGGAAGGGAGCTGGAATGGGAGGGCCCTTTCTTCAAAGGCAGTATCACAGAAATAACTTCAAAGCTGTACATCCACAACTTTATTCAACTTCCCATTAGATCTGTCAGGCGGATGGCTATTATCTCTTCCTAATAGATATGGAACGTGAGGCTCAGGGATCAGAAGAAGGCTGGTTGCTAGTGAGTGGCAAGGTCAAGGTTACGGTAGGGTCTGAAGACCTGGGCTCCTCAGTCCCAGCCCGTTTCTCTTCCCAGGATGTCCCGTAGCTGCTCGGGGCTTACTCTGCGTGGCCTGGTGCCTTCTTCTGGCCTGTGCTTTTGCTTCAGGTGTGGGTGCCTCGTTTACCTGGGCCGGCACGCGGCAGAGTTTTCTAGGAGGGCCAGTTGGAGAACACCTGGGACTCTGGCCTGGACTAACTAGTCATCTTTTGCTGCAGCACCCCCTTTTGTGGCCCGGGAGACGCTCCGGGCCTGGCAAGAGAAGAATCACCCCTGGCTGGAGCTCTCTGACGTCCACCGGGAGACGACTGAGAACATTCGTGTCACTGTCATCCCCTTCTACATGGGCATGAGGGTATGTACCTGGCCTGGACCCCTTCCCTCAGGGGCGGGCCCCCAGATTTTCTGTGGTATCCCCAGTGTGACTGTGGAGTGGGTTCCACGTTTAAACCATGTGCCTAGTGGTTCTGCTTCCAAGTGCTGCACATACTGGGCGGACTCCAAGATCTGGAGCAGCGAGTCCCTCAGGTTCTGGGACGGAGTCCTCCAGGCTGACTCTCCCTTCTGTTCTGGTTCAAAGGCTTCCCGTTTATGAAGAACATACACATACTTGTTTAAATCAGTAGAGGCTGATCTTCGCACTTTGTATGCATTAGTCAGATGTTTATTGAGCTATTTCTTGCCTGGCTGTGAGCTTCAGATAAACATGAAACCCTGTCCCTGCCTTTCAGGAGCTCATGGTAGTGGGAGAGGTTAGCAGAGAGCACATCAAGTGTTGTCATAGCGTTGGGCTCTGGGAGGGCCGAGGAGGAGGGCGGTGGCCTAGGCCGGGAGTGATTGCGGGGTGGGAGGGGTGCAGCAGCTGGCTGGAAGACTGGTGAGAAAGGGAAGGGCCCTGTGGCTGACCTCCATTGGCACCCAGCTCTATCGGTGATCTTGACGGGATGAGGAGGAGGGAGGCCAGGGACGGGGCCAGGGGAGGCTGCCTCCTTTGGGGCTTGTTGGCCGTAGTCCAGTCACCATCCCACAGACACTCGCGACATTGTTCTGTCTCGGCAACCTTCCTGGAATACACCTACTCAGTTGGGGAGCTGTTGATTGGAACAGACTTGGTCCTGCCCTCTGGGACTTAAATTCATTGTTTTTTTCCCCAGGAAGCCCAGAATTCCCATGTCTACTGGGTGAGTGTGTGCCCGGGAGAGGGGGGTGGGGTGGGGTGGGGTAGGGGGATCGGTTTAGAGGGGGGGAGTTTGCCTCTGGCGGGAGGGGCCTGTGCACTGCAGGTGTCCGTCTTTGTTGCCTTTTGCTTTCCTAGAATGCTGGGTGGGCTAGCCCAGGTCTGTTCTTTCTCAGCTGTGAACTCTCTCCACCCCCCACAGTGGCGCTACTGTATCCGCTTAGAGAACCTCGACAGTGACGTGGTGCAGCTCCGGGAGCGACACTGGAGGATATTCAGTTTATCTGGCACCTTGGAGACAGTGCGAGGCCGAGGCGTGGTGGGAAGGGTGAGCATCATCAGGCTGATAATGCCCAGTTTCTGGTCCTTCCCAGCAGGCCTGGGGGCTGAATGCCTGCTCTCCTCTCCTCTGTGGCTAGGGACAGAGGCTCAGTATGTGAATGCCTTGGGCTGTTTTGAGTGACACCTCACAACAGCCCCGTGAGATAGGTTTCTTACAGCCTGATTCACAGATGAAAAGAGAGGTTGCGAAGTGAGGAACTGGCGCCACGGTCCCGTGGCTGGCAGTGGCAGGACATGGATCCGAATCCAGGGGCGTCTGACGTCCGCGCTTGTGTAGAGTCCTTGTTGCCAGCATGGAGCCTTAGTAAACATATGAACATGAGTGCCCTTCGGTGGGCTCCTCCCCACCCCCAGAACCTCTGCTTCTGGTTGTCCTTCCTCTGCCTTTTTTTTTTTTTTTAAGATTTTATTTATTCGTTAGAGAGAGAGCGAGAGCAGGAACACAAGCAGGGGGAGTGGGAGAGGGAGAAGCAGGCTTCCCGCCGAGCGGGGAGCCCGATGTGGGACTTGATCCCAGGACGCTGGGATCACGACCTGAGCTGAAGGCAGACGCCCAGTGGCTGAGCCACCCAGGCGCCCCTTCCTCTGCCTCTTTACACATCTGCCGTCTCTGCTGGTCCAGAAGAGATCTGATTTTGCAAATCCTGCACTACCCCACCCTGTCTCCTGAGAAATAGAGTCACGAGAAATGGCCAGCGGCCACATTTAACGTGTATTTATCCCCATCAGCACGGGCTTGGGAAGCAGGGTGGGATGTTGAGTGAGAACAGGGCTTTGGAGTGAGAGAGTCTGGCTTGGAATGCCAGCTACGTGTGGTTTACTCACCACATAACTTTGGGCCAGTTTAACCAGAAATCTCAGTTTCTTCCTGTTAAATGGGAGTCACACCTATTACCCTCGTAATTACCAGGAGAGTTAAGTCAGCAGAGGTTTGCAGAACACCGCCCTGGTGCCTGGCACTCAGGCACTCCGTGAATGGACTCTGGAAGGGCTATTTACAGAGGAGGTCCTGTGCCCGGCATCTTTGCCTAATGGCCTCAGATGTTGAGTGTGAGGTTCTCTTTCCCAGAAGCAGAATGCAAGGCCCACGTCAGTGGCTGTGCCCCGGGAGGTGGTACTGGCCCGCAGCCATTGTGGGAGGCCAGAGGGGGCATCATCCTGATGAACTGGCAGTGTGCGGCCCCGGGGTACAGGGAGCTGGCCTGGCCTTACCAATTTTGCCTAAACCCTCACAGGAACCCGTGTTATCCAAGGAGCAGCCCGCATTCCAGTATAGCAGCCACGTCTCCCTGCAGGCTTCCAGCGGGCACATGTGGTGAGTGGGCTCATGTGGGGCGGGGTGCCTCGACTCCGCACACGCGGCACAGCTCAGAAAAGCGAGAGCTCAGAGTTTGCCGCTAATTCTGGGCCAGGTTACATTAGAGATGGAGCTTTAGCTGCTATTCATTCTTGGGTGGGACTTGTCTGATTTTTTTCTGTTTTTCTAGTTCCTATGATTTCATGGACTGAGGACTTAGGCCCAAGAGGTCTGGCGGTTTGATGCTGCACTGAGTTGCCCATGTAGTTGGTTTTCCCCTGGTGGTTCACTCCTTAACCTGAAAGTATGGTTGGGTAGCTTATGCAGCGTACATCTAAGGGCCAGAATCAGGGCAGCTCTGTTTCTTCTTTTCATGTAGGGCCAGGAAGGGCTCTTGGGTTTCTGGACCAGTGTTATCCTGACATGAGCCAGGCTGGAGAGCCCATCGTGCCTCATCCTGCTGTGTTCAGTTCTGAAGCTGAAGGCCTAGGGCTCTCAAGATCCTCAGTAGGGCCTCAGCCCTCACTCCCTCTAACCTAGCTTCTCTCTGATGCACAGGGGCACCTTCCGCTTCGAGAGGCCTGATGGTTCCCACTTTGATGTCCGGATCCCTCCCTTCTCCCTAGAAAGCAATAAAGATGAGAAGACACCACCCTCGGGCCTTCACTGGTAGGCCGGCTGAGGCTTGAGTGCCTAGGCTCGGCCCCTGAAGAACAGCTCTCATCCCACAATTGCTGCAGAACTCTCCACCATGGACCACAGTGGGTCTCTTTATCGTTTGCGCCATTTGATTGTGGGGTTCTTTTTTGGTGGGTGGGTGTAATCGTTTTCTCCAGAAGACCTGTGTAGGACTTCTCCAAGGCTGGCCTCCCCTGTAAGCCCTGGCTACACTGTGTCCCAGTAAACCTTTCCACCAGGAAGTTTGTGTTCAGCTGCCACAGGCCTGGGGTTTCCTGGCCTGTCACACAAGTTGTTTGGAATATGAGGTTTGGTCAATAAACCAGTGCACACTTGGCCCCCCCTCGCCATTTCTGCCCCCGGGGTCTCAGGCTCCCTTTTTGACACAGTGGGGGACCTTGGTTGCTGTCCTTGCTGCCTTTCCAGGAAACCGCCCCATCTACTAGAGTGTATCTCTTTCTCTCCTGAGGCTGGGGCTTGGCTGGACGTCTCCCAGGGTCACTGTGCCTCTCAGCCAGTGGGGTGGGGGCTAGACTGGACTTTTGTTGTCTTTTTTACCCTCTGCCAAATGCTGAGCAGGCCAGCATCAGGCTCGGGCTCTCAGCACTGGCCACCCATTGACATCACTGGCCTCCTTGGGCCTGGGAAGGAGAGGCAAGCCATACGAGTTCCCTGGAATAATAGGCCTGCCGGCTGTGAGCCTCTATCTGTCAGGCCTTTCCAGACCGCAAATGCAGAAACTTAGCCGAGGAGCTTTAGGTATGTATGGATGGGGACTGAGCCAAGCTACTTTCTGAGCCGCTTGCTGATCTCCAAGAGCCAGGGATGAAATGTGCTGCATTTTCCCCCGAGTCTTAGAGATTCCTGCTTCCCTACTACCATAGTGATTGTTAAAGAGGTCGTTTTATTCTTGATTAATATTAAATCTCAGTTCCAGCCCTTATTAGTGTTGTCCTTAATCCTCCACCAGGGGGAGCCTGGGTTGCAGGGCAACTGAGTGCAATAGGATTTCCGACTTGGGGCAAACACGAGGTGGTGAGCAGGAGGAATACAAGAACTTTGTCCACAGCAGTGAGCTGACCCAGCTCGAATCACTGCAAGCATGGCTCTGCAGCACTGCGGTGTAACACAATTTTATTAGAAATTAGCGTTGGTTTCCATCACCCATGCTGAGCAACAAGGGATTGCAGTTAAGGGACAAAGGAGACCTTCTCTCGTGGCAGGACCTGGGCCATCCTTTAGGCAGACATTGGTCAGATAAGAAATGGAGTAAAACCCAGTCCTGGCACATGTGGTGAACAGCAGGCTTCCAGTTTTCTCAGAAACCGAGAAGGTTTGACCTTCATCCACACTCTTTGTTTGCTTTCCCCTGGGCTGCTCCGAGTTGAAAAGTTCACACAGCCAAGAGCTGCTTTCTGAATGGGGCTGAGAAATGCAAAGAAAATTCCCCCAACCCTTACGCCACAAAGTCCGATGAAAGAAGCTGACTTCAGTGATTTCAATGTTAGTATTTTTCTTAAGACCAGGGAGAGATTTTTGATTAGTCCAGGATTACCGTGCTTTCTCAGGAAGAAAGAATAGTCACCACTGAGAGAGCTGAGGATCTAAATGTCAGAGCAGCAAAGAGGCTGCAGGGCTGGGGAGGTCAAAGGACAGGCATTAAAATACCTCAGTGGGAAGCTGGGGCTTTGAGTATTAGAGGGCCTCAGGAGGGCAGCGGGGCAGGAGGAAATAGGCCAGAGGCCTCAGGCAGAAGCGTTCCAGTCTCTGTGGGAAAGCCACAAAGCCAAAGGCGGAATCTGGCCAAAGAAATGGATTTGTTTTCATCTCTACTCCAGGGAGGGCTGGGTGAAGTGTTCTGAGCTGATGACCAGGGTGCCTCACCTGAAAGTACATATTCAAGGCCGACAAGCGTAAAATGCCTGGTTAGTCACACTTCCCCTGCCCCATCATGTCATTTCAGGTCCTTGTGGGTGTCTACAAACCCGGGCCTGGCATTTGCCCATAGGCTCCATCGCGTTGGCCATAAGCAGGCCACTTAGCTAAGCGACAGTCGTCAGGAGAGAGGAGCCTGATAACCTGATAACCGGATAACCGGCGCTCCTTCCCGAGTGGCTACCGCTCAGCGGCTCTGGGGTTTTCTTAGGCTGGCTGAGCAGCTCCCTCCCTGATGGCATTCCTTTGCAAAAGAATTCGGATAAGCAGCCTCCCAAAGGGCTGGGGCGCCAAACAGAAGGTAGTGAAAAAAAGCCCCAAGGGGGAACTTGCATCCTTGCCCAAGAGCTGGGCCTTGGCAGCTCCACGGCCACATCACCTGGCCTTTGAAGGGACTTAGGCTGCTCCCATCACCCTGCGTCCAGACTCAACGCTGGGCAGAACCACCCCCCCCCCCCCCCGGCTGGGACACAAAACCAGTAGTATGGGGCGGGCAGGGGCCATATGGCCAAGCACATGCCACCTCTGCGCAGGGCTGCTGGGAACACAGAGCTCGTGTTCACTGTCCTCAGCTGGTGGGCGTCCGAGTGCGGCACCCACAGGCCTCACAGCCTTCCCGCTGCGGCTCATGCTCCTGGTCCCTGTAACGGCCCTTTGGCTTCCCAGAAAGTAAAGCGAAGCACACCTTGGAGCTGAGGGCAAGAGAATCAAAAAGAGCAATCCTGTTAGGCCCCAGGACTCCATTACGTGACCTTAAAATGTCCTTTCTCATGGGCATTATTAGGACTACAGTTCCCAACTTAAATGTCCTTCCTTCCTTCCTGTCCATGCTCTCTGGGTCGGCTGCTTGGCCAGCCCAGCAAAGCCCACGTCAGTCAGTATTTTGTTTTGTTTTATTGCTTCTCTAGCCCCTCTCTCAGACTGATTCTGTAGGGAAGAGGGGTTAGGGTCAGAAAAAGATGATGTGTGTCAGGGCAGAATACAAATCTCCTGAATAAAAGTACAAAGTGCTTTAAAGAAACAGATGCCAAAGGCATCAAGGAAGGCCAAGGGTTCTGCCCTCTACCCAGGGTTTTGGCACCCTAGCGGGGTAGCACAAATACCTATTCCCTCATTATTAGACTCAGAACTCTTCACTTCCTAGATGATTTTTTAAAAACCAAAATCATGAAGCCTGTGCTTAAACACCTCAGGGAAAAAGGAGCCCCACCTTCTGTAAGAAACTGGGCCTCCACAGCACCAGAACGAGCTCATTCCCCATGGACCTGCCCAGAGGCCTAAAGGTAGCCCTTCACTGGAGCAAAAGAACACTCAGCAAGGGGTCAAGGGGGCTGTTCTCGTGGGAGGTGGGCAGGGCAGTCCGTTCGCCTCAGGGGTAGACGCCGCTCCCTGTCAGGAAGGGTGAGCAAGGGGTCCAGGCCCCGGGCATCTTGGAAGTGCTCAGGGAGCAGGGCGAAGCAGTGTGGTCCCTCTCCCACTCAGGCCCTCTGCCTTCCTGTCAGGCCTCTGGGCGCTGGAGCAGAAACCCAGCCAGTAGCAGCATGGGGCGGCCAACGGGGCAGGATTCCACAGGAGGCTCTGTGGGTGTCCCGTGCCCTGACTCCCTGAGGGCCCTGTCAGTCGCGATGGGCGGACTGGTGGCCGAGCTGCCGATCATCGTAAGTGCTGTAGCGTTTGACGTGGATACGGCGGACCCGGTCCCGCAGTTCAAAGGTCTCCTCATCTTCACTGGGGGAAGCCTGGCTGCGGCTCCGGCTGGTGGCCTCCAGTAAGGAGTTGTCAGGGACTCGGGGGGTCTCGTAGAGCAGGACGTTCAGCGTCTCCTCATAGATGCGGGCCTCTGGGAACTCCACCTGAGTTCAGGGGGACAAGAGGGCCAAATGGGGCTTCACCCCAGCCAGGCAGCGACACGGCGGGGCCCTCGCCCCCGTGCTGGCCCTCCAAGTTCCTCCTGAACTCTCTCCCGAGACGGGTGAGCGAGGGGGGGGGGTCTCTCTCTGGAGGAGCCGTGGGGAGTTGTACTCTGTGCACATAAGGACGCCAAAGACTAGCATGCTGCCCGTGCCCCACCCGGGCCCGGAGCAGTGGGCTAGTGTGTGCAGGGTTCGGGCCTCGGCTTTGTGCTCAGAGCCAGGCTCCAGTATGGGCTGCGAGGCCTCAGTTTCCGCCCATGTAAAATCAGGGCTAATACCTACTTCCAAGAGTTGTTGTGAACAGTACGTGGGAGACAGAAAGGCACGTGGACTCTAGCCTAACTTGACTTCTGTTCCCTCATCTGTTAAACGGGGAGAAGGCTCCAGCCCTGCCTGAGGAGTCCCTAAGTACACAAAAAAGAAAATGCTCAGGAAGGTGACGGGTTGCTGCCACTTCCAAGTGTAAGCAGCCCCCACAGAGACCTGACCCCGAATCCTGACTCTCTTGATACGTGCACACGGGAGTCCGCACCCCCAAAATGCCAGGAGGAAGCAGGGCCACCTCCTGTAAGCTGTCCTTCCCCACCCGTCAGGCGGCCCAGCTGGAGGCAGTTCGGGGGCCTGGAGGCCGAGCAGGTGCTACACAGGCTTGGCTGCTTTGAGCGCCTCACACACACGACCCTCCGAGTGGGCTGCCCTCCTGGCCCAGCAAAGGCCTCCGCTGCCTCCGCTGCACACGCTCCCGGCGGGGGGGAGCTCCTCTCTGGGGAGGACACCAACTGCTGGCAGCCTGGGAGAACGGGGTTTGCCGAGGTCGTGTCAACTGTCACCTGTCAAATCCCTCACACGTACCTGGCGCTGCGTTGTTCCTGCGGAGGCTAAGCTGGTCGGCCGGGAACACCCAATTAGCAGGGCCAGAGAGGAGATCAGACCCTGAACTGCTGCTCCTAGGAACCGCTGCATTTTCCTAACAGTTCCGTTAACTGCATACTATCATGCCCAGGTTTGCAGGTGCGGAAACTGAGGCCCAGCTGGTTTAAATGGCTTGTACGAGGTCAGAAAACTGGTGAGTGGTAGAACCAGAATTCAGACCTGAATTGGACCAACTCCAAAGACCCAGTCCTTCCCACCGCACCACGCTGTTCTTGCTGGTCAACAGCCCCCACCGCTCAGCTGACCAGAACAAAAGCATTCGCGAGCCAATCCCCGAACTGCTTCAGCTGGCTTTGTCCTTGCCCAGCACCATCGTGTGGGTCTGGGGAAAACAGAGAGCGAACCGAATGCCCTTCCGCTCCCCGTGGTGAAGGGCACAGCTGGGGCTGCGCTGGGGTGTGTCCCGCCCCCCCCTCCCCGCACAGAGGGAAGCCCCCCCCTCCCCACCTTGGTCTGCTTCTTCTCCGTGGCATACACGATGGAGGTGCAGCACACCTCGGCCAGCTTGCGACCCTGGCCGTAGAAGGACCAGCAGCAGATCTCATCGCCAATGACGTCCTTGATGAAGAGCACGCGGCCGTTGAAGCGCAGGGAGAGCTTGTCGAACAGCTCAATGTTTTTCAGCAGGTGGTCGTCCGAGTTGCTGAAAAACCCATGAAGGCCAGGGGGCCTGAGAATGAGGTTCCAGCACAAGAGACGGTGCTGGCTGGGCGCTTCCCCGCTTCCCCTCCCTGTCACGCAGAACTGAGGAAAAGTCAGGATGCCAGAGGCGACAGCACGGAAGAGGGTCACAGGGCACCCCCTGGGTTTGGGGGCCTGCGAGGGGAAGGAGGGGAGTTGGTCTGAAGGTAAAGCAGAGAGAACTGAGGGCGGGGGGTCTCCTCTCATCAGGCCCCGAAGGAAGGAGGCTCGCTGCCCTCGCGGCAGGAGGACCCGTTCCCTTGCCGTAGGGGGGGTGCCGGCAACACATCCGTCCACGGGGACTCCCCAAGCCCACGGCCTTTTGCGTATACCTAACTGCGGCCGGCCGAGGGGACACCGGGCAAGGGAGAAAGTGGCCCAGCTGTGAGGCACAGAGGCTGGCTTAGGAGGAGTCCCAGCCACGGGCTTCCCAGGGTCCCTCCCCCACCTCATGAGCTAATGCTGGGAAAACACCTGGCACGTTGCCCGACAGGACACATTGTGGGGGGGGGGGGTTCCAGTTCGTTGCCCTCGATATCCCAGCCAGGGCCCTGCACCAAGTGCCAAATGCCTCTGCCCTCATTTCCCTTCTCTCTCTGTTCTTCCCGCCTGAGATCCAGACCCTCGCCAACCGTGCCAGGAGTGCAGGTGCCTTCTCTTGGGTCTGCTGCCCCGTGGCTGGCTGCCTAGTCCTTCCAGCTACTTCTGCAGCCCTTCCCCGAGCCTTGGCCCCCCGGCCCCCAGCCCCCAGATGCCCACCCTACCTGGTATAGGAATACTTGTTGTTGCTTCTATTGTACAGCAGCTTCACCACGGGCTGGGAGGGAGAAGAGCGTGAGGGCCAGGCTAGGGTCCCGTCCATCCCTGCCCACAGCCCTCAGGGGTCCCAGTACCTTGGTGGAGGATTCGATGAGCCTCTCTTCCTCTTTCAGGGAGGTGATGATGGGGATGTTGCACACAGGCTGGTAGGAGTCCTTCTTGTCCTGGGTGATACACACAGCCGAGAGTCTTTTTTGAGATCTCCTGCTTGCCAGGCTAAGCCAGGCGTTCCCCAGGAGCTGTCGGAGCCCCTCTGCCAAGGCCACCCTCTGCTGGTTGAGGAGGCATCTGGCCATAGAAACTGCCAGCCGGCAAGCAGAACCCCATTTCCAGAAAACCTAAAATCCAGATAGCAAGGTGTAGAAACCGGAAGCTGGGCTTAGTCCTACTGCCTGAGTCTGTCACCTTACAAACAGACTGACTGCCGGTGTCCTTGGCCTGCGCAGCACCGAGCATATCTAACAGTGAGGTTCGGACTCACCAACCGTACCGGTCATGCGACCTTCCAGGAACTGGACCTTTTTGTCTCTGAAGGGAGGGGCCAGCTCCCAACCTCCTCGACCTGAGCCCACTCTAGCTCCATACCTGCAGAGCAGTCTGGCACACGCTCACCAGCCCCTGAATGAGGTAATACTTGGCTTCGGCCATCAGCTCCTTGATTTCTTGCCGGTTCTGTGGGAGGATGATGGTGTCATCGCGGAGGTAATTCAAAATGGTGCCGAAGTGCTTTCCACATCGGTCTATGAGGATCCAGCCTAGGGATTCAGACAGGCCCCCCGACAGTTACTCTTTGCCTCCAGGTAGCCCGCATCACAGGGTAACAGAAGTGGGAATGCCACCTCTAGCTCTTAGGTCTGCGGCTGTTCTTTTCCACCAAGGATGGCCCGGACTACGGGGGACAGAGGCCCTCCAGGCTCTGCGGCAGCCCACAGAGGTCTAAGCTCAGGAGCGCTCAGGCCTACCGCCTGGCGACACAAACACCACCAGGCCCTGCCTGCCTTTTGTGCACTGTCCCGTCAATACAGCGATGTTCTCAGAAGAATCTAGTCCTTTTGTTATTCAAAAGGTATGGATCTTGGTCCTGGAAAACATGTAAGTGCACACCCTTCTACATACAACCTCAAAGAATGCTGAGGCTCTACCACAGGCTCCAGGTGAAGGAGTCCTGTACCAGGTAACAGGAAGAGTGAATCTAGAGTCTAGACCTGCCAGGCTTGAGCCCTGCCCCAAAGTCGCTTCTTCAGGAATTCTTTCTTCCCTCCTCAGCTGGCCCAACAAACCCCAATGCCTCACCTTCTTTGTCGGTCAGCACCTCCATGCGCCCGCTGAACATGGCCTTGAGCATGGTGTCGTGCCGGGTGAGTGCCCGCACGGTGGTGTAGTACAGGGAGCCCCCCACATTGAGCTGGACGTATTTGTTGCCCAGGCCTCCTCCCTTGAAGCCGCTCAGCTTGGGCTTGGCCCCCGAGGCGGGGCACAGACAGGTATCCCCTGACATCTCCCGCTGCAGGTAGATCACCACACGGCAGGAGGTCGGCTTGGAAGGCTCCGCCGTGGTGGAAGGATCACGACGAGCGAGTGGCCAGCGGAGGCCAGAGCCTCATACTTTCAGCACTGTGAGCAGGAGATGGGAGAGAAGACAGGAGTTAGCAGAGGAGAGCCCTCAGCTGAGAGGGGACAGGAGAGGACCGTGCAGTCATTCTCTCCTTGACAAGCAAGACCCCCTGGCAGAGGCTAAGGCCTTAGGCAACAGCAAAAGAGGACGTTCCTGTTCTTCTTTATGGTACCGGGAACCAGCACAGTCTCCCAGAGCCTGCCCCTCGTCTCGCCAGCCCCCCTGAGCCTCGGCTCAGCTCTCGGCAGCAAGGAGGACAAGCAAACCCTTGGAGTTAGTCCGAGACGGCTTGAGGAGCAGACAGGGCAGCCGGAGTCTTTACCCTGGGGAATGACAGTCCAATTCCAGTTCTTTGCCTCTCACGGTTCCCAGGACCCAAGTGTTCCCACCAAACCTACTGGGAATCCTGCCAGCACAGGAGATTCCCAGGAGCCAGAGGGACAGGATGCACTTCCTCTCTAAAGATTCCAGGCCCGGAAGCAGTCTGCACCAGCGGTGACTTTGAGCACCACCGCGGTCTGGCTTCAGGAAGGAAAGTAAAAGCAGCTTCAGGAGAGCACAGGAACGAGCCAGGCTGGAAGCCGCCGGCCAGTGTTCCCGGCAGAGGTTACCCAGGCCGCAGCAGAGCTTCCTGACCTTCCTCTTTCTTGGTCCCAGCCCTGTCCCAAGTTCCTGAAATTGTCACCATTTTCCAGGACAGAACAACTACAGGATGGCTATTTTTACTTCTTTTTCCTGAGAGGAGGCCCAGCCTTATCTCTTCCTTTCTTCCCTACCCACAAGACCGGGGACACGGGGCTCGAAAAGACCAGATGATAAATCTAAAAACAACTATGAAGTGATCTGGAAACTAAAACACTGATAGGCATTCATGGGAGGGAGGAGTGAGGGAAGCAAAGGAGGGCAAAGCCAGGTCACTCCCCGTGAGCTAGATTCTCTATTATATGTCTTGGTTTTCTTTTCTTTTTTTTTTTTTTTAAAGATTTTTTATTTATTTATTTGACAGAGAGAGAGACAGCGAGAGCAGGAACACAAGCAGGGGGAGTGGCAGAGGGAGAAGCAGGCCTCCCGCGGAGCAGGGAGCCCGATGTGGGGCTCGATCCCAGGACCCTGGGATCATGACCTGAGCCGAAGGCAGACGCTTAACGACCGAGCCACCCAGGCGCCCTATATGTCTTGGTTTTCTAAGGAATCACTAAAATTCATTCGCTGAAAAGAAAGAGCAAACATTCACTGCACGTTTACTATGTTCCAGGTACTAGTCTAGGCAACTTAATATACACATTACTTCATTTAACTCATTCAGCGAGAAAACAAGACTGAGTCACTACTCCGTTAGGCGGTAGGGACAGACAGATGGAAAGATATGGACCTTGCCTTCAAGGAGTACAAAGAAGCATCATAACGTTAACAAGAATAAAACTAGTAAGAGTTAGTGTTTATTGTGCCCTGTTACGTGCTGGGCAGTGAAGATACAGAAGAAAACAAGTAAGTCATGGCCTCACGGAGATTACATTTTAGGGGGAGGATACAGACAATAAGCAAGACAATGAATAAATAAGCGAGCAGTTCCAGAGGGTAAGAAATGCAATAAATAAGCTAGTGATAAGAGAGTGACTAGGGACTCTCTCCCTCATTCTCTCTCTCTCAAATAAATAAATAAAATCTTTAAAAAAAAAAAAAAAAAGGGCGCCTGGGTGGCTCAGTTGGTTGAGCGACTGCCTTCGGCTCAGGTCACGGTCCTGGAGTCCCGGGATCGAGTCCCGCATCGGGCTCCCTGCTCAGTGGGGAGTCTGCTTCTCCCTCTGACCCTCTTCCCTCTCATGCTCTCTCTCTCTCATTCTCTCTCTCTCAAATAAATAAATAAAATCTTTAAAAAAAAAAAAAAAGAGAGTGACTAGGGAGAAGTCCTAAAATGGATAGGGGCCGGGGAAAGCCTCTTTGGGAAGGTGACATTCCAGCTGAAGTCTGAAAGAGCGTTCCAGATGGATGGGAGATTAAGTGCAAAGTTTCTCAGTTAGACACAAGTTTTAGGAACAGAAATAAGGCCAAGATGTCTTGGGGATGCCTGGGTGGCTCAGTCAGTTAAGCCGCTGCCTTCGGCCTGGGTCATGATCCCAGGATCCTGGGATCGAGCCCCACATCGGGCTCCTTGCTCAGCAGGGAGCCTGCTTCTCCCTCTCTCTCCCTCTGCTTGTGCTCTCTCTGTCAAATAAATAAAATCTTAAAAAAAAGGCCAAGATGTCTAGTGCATAGAAAGAAGGGGGAAGTTGGCTTGATGTAAAGTCAGGACGCAGGGGCCAGTTCATATTACAAAGTTTGCATTTTATGCTAATTGCGATGGCCATCGATTGGAGGGTTTTAAGTAGGAGAGTGACAGGATCTGAGTTATTCACATTTTGAAAAGATCACTCTGGCTGCCGGGTAGAGAATGGCTCATAAGGGTGCATGAGAACAAGCGGGAAGACCAGAGGAAGCGGCCGTCTAGGCAAGTGGTGAAGGCCTGTACTGCAGTGCTGGCAATGGAGACAGAAAAAAGGTAAAATTGCCTCGTAGTCCTCACAACACGCAAAAGTTTACGGTTGCATGTCACCTCCTTTAAGTGAGATCCAGAAGCAGTGCTTACCACAACGCCATGCACGTCTGAAAAGTATTTAATATGTCAGTTTGTTAGACTGAAACCGTCCCTGAAAAGATTTAGGTAGGCCCCTAAGAAGAATGTCCAAGGAAGGACCAGAGCGGGTGCTTTGTGAAGTACCAAATTTCTTTGGTGGCTTGTCCAGCAGACTCTCATTTACCCCAAGGATGGAGTATGGATGAGATGAACCCTCACCAGCAGACTGCCCAATCCCTAACTAACACATGAACAGTATGAAATCACCTCACCCTCCTCCACCCACCCCAAAGGAATAAGTCCCCCCCTTAACAGGTTTTAGCAAGTTCCCTACCTACTTTGGGTCTAGCCCCGATTTCCCCAAGGATCAAAGCAAGCACACATATGTTCTGCCAAAGTAAAGGAATTCAAAGGCTAGGCGGTGGCCAACAGAGCCTACAAAGCAATTGCTTTGAGCCCCTGGATGACGTCAGCTCAGATGCCGCCCGCTCAGATTCCTCCCAGACCAATGGGCTCCAGGAATGTTGTGGCAGGTGACGCCCCAGAAAGTAATTCCAGTGAGAATGAAGTTTCCACTGATAGCCTCACTGCTGTTCCTTCCGGACTTTGTGTGTGGATATTTGGGGATGCCTGGGGCTGAGGGCGTATCCGAGTCTCCCTCAGCGAGGCTAATGGGAACCGAAGCAGAATAAAGGGCAGGACAACAACCACGGCCATGGAAGAAGGTGGGGTCCTAAAGGAAAAAGTACCCAGAAATCCATCACACTCGGTGGTGGCGGGCGGGTAACCGACCTTGGGTGGGGGGGGAGGATCTAGCAGAAATCCTAGGTGTAAATCTTAAGCTTCGTCCAAAGGGACTGGAAAGATTTAGCGAGACCCAACCTCTCTGCAGTCTGTGGTGAGTCTTCCCCGGCCCGCACCCCTCCTCACCACCGAGAAACTGAGACCGATTCTGACACCCATCCCAGTGGAGGATTTGAGCTCTCCATCTCCCCTACACCGTCCCACGCCTTTTCCCCAGGACTGGGTGGGGCTCTCTGCTCCAGCCCGGGGCCCGTCCATCCTGTCCCCCAGGGCATCCGCACCCCGGCTCTCACCGTCCCCGGGGGGCGCTTCTCCTCTCAGCTGGGTTGCAAGCCGACCCCCGTGCCGCCCTGGGCTGTGGCCGCCAGCCCGCCAGCAATCCCGGCTGTGAGCTCACATCCTCCGCCCGCGGTCTCCGCCTGGAGCCGCGGCCCAACCCCGCCCGCCCCGCAGCCTGGGACTCTAAAGCGGGCCTTGCCCAGCACCCAATCACAGGGGAGGGAGGGGCCCTTGAGAGAATTCCGCCGTGAGTGCTCAGCTACTTCCGGTAGCCTTTCCGGCGCAAAGGCCTCTGGGTCTTGTAGGCAGCCGTCCCTCCTCTCAGGCCTGTTTCCCAGCAGGCTCTGCGGGTTGAGCGGAGTAAGTACTTCCGCAGTCGAGTAATGACGTTACGGGTAAACAGGTCCGGTAGCCGTGGCAGCGGCTGAGGCCGGCGGGCGAGGCACCGACTGCCGCTGACCCGGGAGAGAAGCGGCCTGCCGGAATCAGCCCGGGCGGTAGCGCGCCGCCGCGACGGGGTTGGCAGGTAGGCAGCGACTCCGGGTTGGGGGACGCGGGCGGACCCGGGGCGAGTGAACCCAACAGGCCGATTCCGCGCGATTCTTTGCGAGCCGTGTGACACCCAGCTTTGGCCTGGAGCTTAACGCGTTGATGTTCGCAACGGTCTTGTGAGGAAACTGCGGCTCATATAAGTTCAAGGCGTTTACGTAGTGTGGACAGCCAGCTCCACCACCCAGGTCTTCCTGTGTGCGCGGTGCCCCTTCCCCCCATCCCGCGGATGGCGCCTGCTCGCGGGGCCCGGAGAGGATCTGGGAGAGCCGCGGGGTGGACAGAGTGTCGCCGCCGTCATCTTCAGGGAGCTCAGTGCGGTTCTTGTGCCACACGCACGTGTGGTGGGAGTTGGGAGGGAATCTGATAGTCGGTTGGGAACTCTCTCCCTGCCCTCCTTCTCCGGTCCAGTCCATCTCATTCAACTCTGCCCTCCAAACATACAGTTGGCGCTCAAGCCAGGTACATGGGAATCTTGGCTGCCTCTTTTCCCTCCCTCATCCCCAAACTCCTACATTCAGTCAATCCTTTACCAGATGCCATCAACTTACGTAACATCGCAAATTGGAACACTTTTCTTCAGCTCCAAGCCTTGGTCACTGTAATAGCCTTCTCTGTTTCCAGTCATTCGTTCCACATTTACTGAGTGCAGGCGCTCAGCGTGTGCAGGCACCCTGCTAGATGCCAGGGTTACAGTGATGAACAAGGTAGGTGTAGCCCCACTCTCTCGTTCCCTCCAGTTCATTCTCCATCCTGGGTCAGAGTGATCGTTCCACAAGGCAGATATGGCTGTGCTTCTCTGCTGAGAATCTGCTGGCTGCCCACTACTCTTAGGATAAAATCCAAGCTCATGACGGCGGCTTTCAGAGCCCTCCCTGAACCAGCTCTGGCCTCCCCATCTAGACTTATCCTGTTCCACACTCCCCCCCCACCCCCCCCAGTTCGCTGGGTTTTAACCACGCTAGCCTTTCGGTTCCTGGAATGCATTACATTTCTTTTAGCCTCAGGATCTTCACACATGCTTTTCCTTCTGCCTGGAACGCCTCCTCCCTGCTTCACTTGGCAAACTTTTGGATATTCTTTAGGTCTCAGCTTGAGTGTCACGTTTAAAGAAGCTTTTGTTGAGGGGCACCTGGGTGGCTCACTCGGTGAAGCATCTGCCTCTGGCTCAGGTCATGATCCCAGGGTCCTGGGATCGAGCCCCATGTCAGGCTCCCTGCTGAGCGGGGAGCCTGCTTCTCCCTCTCTCCCTGCTTGTTCTCTCTCTCTCTCTCGCAAATAAATAAATAAAACCTTTAAAAATAATTTTTAAAAAGGAGTTTTTGTTGAGACACCCCCCATATGAATTATGTCCTCTTGCTGCAGCTTTATGTAGCACCATGTGCTTTCCCTCATACCGTCCTCAAAGTATGTGATTATTTGTTTACTGTCTGTCCAGAGATCAGAAATGTTTCTGAATAAATGCATCCTCTCAGGGAAGGGAGTGGAAGTGGAAGCAGATATTTGCTCCCTCAGGTTACTGGAAGCTTCCTAGAGCAGCTGGTCTGACTAATCACCTGCTAGGTGTTAAATGCTCGGACTATATGTGTAAATGTAACAGAACAGCAGGAAGACGGATCTTTTAAAAAAGCTCGATTAAAAGGAAGCTCGGGATGATTAAAATGTTTCAAAAGGAAGATGCTAGCTTAGTTCCTTCAGTGGATTCCAGTAGGCCAACGGCTCAGTCCTACACAGACAGCCTATAGACATGCATTAGTTGGCCCACAGTGTTAGATGTGGTTTTTCCTTTAAAATTTTGAATTCAATACTTTCCTCTAAAAATCAGATTTCATCTCTAAATCTGGATTTTTGGCTGTCTTGAAAATCAGATCTGGCAGCTGGGGAACTTAATTCTTTTTTAACCATTGCTCCTCCTACGGTATACCTGCTCTGGGAAGTTACTCCCATAATCACCCCATTTGGGACAGAACTTTTCTAAGGAAGCCAGAAGGGAAACAGCGGGAGGAGGTGGGAGCAGAGGAAAGGGCTGGCGCAGGGCCAGCTGGTGGTAGCCTTTGGAACACCTGGGGTTTGGGAATTGGTATGGCAGCCAGTGGCTAGCCCTAAGTAGCATTGTGTGTGCTTTTTAATTTGTGTGTGCGTGTGTTTGCCAGAACGAGGGTGAGTTTTCAGTGTTTCCTTCCCAGAATTGAGGCATCCTCTGGACCAGGAATGCAGGGTGGCCTGGGAAGGGAAAAGATATCTCTGCTGGTTCTCTTGCCTACAGAAAGAAACCCAAACTCCTTAGTTGGGCACACAGGCTCTTCCTGATCTGGCCCCAGCTGACCTTTGCAGCTCCGTCCTCGGTCCTTTCATCTTCTAGGTCTTCTGGCCGGTTCAGTGACTTCACATGCTTGTCTGTGCTGTTTTCTCTGCTTGGGAAGCCTTTCCCTAGCCTCCTCACTTGGTATGTTCTTGCTGATGCTTCATTCCTTTTTGTTTTCTGCTAGAAAGAGACGGAGCCAACTTTGGTCCTAGTTCAGGCCAACATGCCTGTGACATATATTGTGGATAATGTCTTTATTCCTGGCTTCTTTTTTAACTCTCATTTTTAAGTCATGCAGATTACCTCTTTTCCTTGCTTTTGGTGTTATGCTAGGACTGTACTGTAAAAGCTTTGTCATGTCCTTTTGGGTACATAATTGGGGATAAATATGCTTATGGCTTCTCACAATTTAGTTCAAATGTTACTCGCTCACCCTGTTAACTGCTCTGTTCTCCTGCAACACTTGAGTGATATTTCTGTAAAAGCACTTAACACAGCATACTTTCTCAGTTTCCGTGTCTGTCTTCCTCCAGCTAAACTATGTGCTCCTCCAGGGCGGGCACCGTGTCGCGCTCATCTTTGTGCCCCCAGCATCTAGCAGTGTTGGCATGTGGTAGGCACTCAAGAAATGTGTGTTGAATGAACGATGCCCGTGACAAGCAACTGGACTTTATTCTTTCCTGACCCTTGCTCCTATGACACACTTCCTCCTGACTGCCACTAGCACCCCTTCAGAGCAGAGCTGCTCTTCTCTAGGGAAACCGGAAGGGAAACAGGTGAGGCTCAGAGAGGTGGAGGCAGAGGGAAGGGGAGCCTTTGGAGGAACGTCTGCGGTTTTGGTGCTGGTGTCTGGGGGCAGGAGCGGGGCTGGGCTGGAAGCGGGCATTTCCTTGGGTGGCTGGGAAGTGATCGGGGACTCAGGCTGCTTTCTTCACAGCTATGGCCAAGGACATCCTGGGTGAAGCAGGGCTGCATTTTGATGAGCTGAACAAGCTGCGCGTGTTGGACCCTGAGGTTACTCAGCAGACCATAGAGCTCAAGGAAGAGTGCAAGGATTTTGTGGACAGTGAGTGTCACTTGGGGAGACGTGGTGCCCCACCTCCACTCTCACCCGCAGCTGTCACCCTGGCCAGAACGGGGCTAGTGCCTCTCTGGATGTTGTGTCTGGCCTTTAGGAATTCCCACATACCAACCACCTTGTCTCCCTGCTCTCTGATGCTCACATGTAGTCAGACATAGAGCATCAATCAAGACAAATGGTGAAATGGAGAGAGGATATCCCATCTTTGATTTTTTTGCTCTCAGAAACCTTGAACTTCATGGGGCAGAACTATGGCTTGAGGGTGGGAAAGAGTTATGTACTCATGATTTGATTTCTTGGAAGTTCAACAGACTCAATGAGGTCATTTTTTAGCTAGATATCCAGGACACCTCCTGTCCCAGCAGGCAAGCAAGCCGAGTGGCATTGAATACAGGGCAGCTCTAGCTAAAGCAGGGATTTCCATTGTGTTGTTGACGAGCAGGGATTTCTGAGCCTTCTGCGCACTCCATAGTCTGTAGAAAGCTTGACTGGTGAAGGGCGGCATGGGCTCCATTGCCAGTCTTCTCGCTGCCTGTTGTCCTTCCTCCCTGGGTCCTAGTTCATTCCTCAGTAGAACTGAGGTCCCACCACACCCAAGGACACTGAAAATAGCAAATGGAAGATTAGGTACTTAAATGCTTTGAGCTCTTTATTAGCTCTGGTTACAGTTGGCAAACCACTGCCCCCCTAACCACCATTAACTGAAATCTAGTTCCTTATCTGGGGCTAGTCAGGAGGCTCTGTTCAAGTCCTGAGTCAGTCCTTTCATGAACATGGCCCTTTGTGCTTCCTGTCACTCCTGGAAAAGCAGCATAGAGCCTGCGCAGAGGATGGGCCCATCAGGAGCCTCATACCTAAGGTTAATAGTCACTGGCTGGCTCATTTGGGACTCAAGGTCCAAGTATGCCCCAGTCCAGCTCTGGGCACTTGGCCACCCTTCTCTCGGTTTAGACCAAGGGTGGAAGACTTTAGGTCAGCAGGCACCAAATTGTTTTGACACAAATTAGAAGGGGCAGTTAGTCCTGCCCTCTTGCCACAAGGGAACACAGAGGGAGTGGTGATGCCGAGAAAATAAAACCTTTTATTTTCTGTTCTTTCCCTAAAAGAAATTGGCCAGTTTCAGAAAATAGTTGGTGGTTTAATTGAGCTTGTTGACCAACTTGCAAAAGAAGCAGAAAATGAGAAGATGAAGGTAAGATCAGCAGGCCTTCTAAATCTTGGCCTGGGACATGGTTCACTCGTTCTTTTTCTTGGGGGGGGGGTGTGTGGGATTTTATTTAAAACAGGATTTGGGGGTGCCTGGGTGGCTCAGTCATTAAGCATCTGCCTTTGGCTCAGGTCATGATCTCAGGGTCCTGGGATCGAGCCCCGCATCGGGCTCCCTGCTCCGCGGGAAGCCTGCTTCTCCCTCTCCCACTCCCCCTGCTTGTGTTCCCTCTCTCGCTGTCAAAAAATAAATAAAACCTTAAAAAACAAAACAGGATTTTAGTAAGAAGTGCAGTTAACCTCCTGTTGAACTCATATGCTAGTACACTTTGTCATTCTTGCCTTTAATCTTCACATCACTGAGATAGGTGGTTTTATGCTCATTTTATAAGTGAAGCAATGCAGGCATGCAGGGTGTCGATGACTTGGCAAAGGACCCAAGGCTAAATGGCACACTAAATGGGCCACTGACCACCTGTGTGCTAGACTCAGGGATACTCATAGACCTACCCCTGAGCTGCAGTCCAGGTCTCATTAGGCACTTGGGATAATGCAGTTATTCCTCCCCCTTATTCCTGAGGCTCGGGGGCTCGACTCTCTTGCCAGCTGGGCACTGAGACAGCCCCCAAGTGGCCCTTCCTTGGCTGAGGACTTAATGCTGAAGATGGTTTTAATGAAGCCATGACCTTTTTTGGTGATACTATTTTTCTAGGCCATTGGTGCTCGGAACTTGCTCAAATCTATAGCAAAACAGAGAGAAGCCCAACAGCAGCAACTCCAAGCACTCATAGCAGAAAAGAAAATGCAGCTTGAAAGGTAAAATGTAAAGCAAGTTCTTTACTCAACTGCAATTCCATTTTTCCTTCTTGAACGGTCACCTCTTATCCTCCTCCTTCATCATTGTTCTCCCCCAGGAAGTGTCTCACTTGTCATCCTGATTTGAAGACTTAAAATAAAAATACATTTGATGAGAAAGAAAATGTCTTAATACAAAACCACCTCTAATATCAAGAGCTTGAAAGCTCAGGTAGCAAGTGTCCAGAGTTGGCTGGTTCTCCTGAAGGAAAACCCCTCTTGGGGCTGGAGACTTCTCATAGGTGGCCCTAGGTTGGGCTTTGCCTCTTTGTTCTTTCTTACCCTACCTTCTGCATTGTGAACTCACACCATTTCTTGGCATTATTTAAGTCATTTATATTCTTCTCTGGAAGAATTAAATCCATGGTTTATTTCATCCATTCTTAGGGCTTCTAACAATTTTGTTTTTCAGGTATCGGGTTGAATATGAAGCTTTGTGTAAAGTAGAAGCAGAACAAAATGAATTTATTGACCAATTTATTTTTCAGAAATGAACTGAAAATTTCATTTTATAGCAGGAGGGCAAAAAAAATAAGACCCAAAAAAACCTCTGTACTGTTCCTGTGACTTGACTAATGGCCCACGTATATCCTGAGAGATGGTGTGTAACGAACGCAGCATCTCTGAAGGCAGGAAACAAATCTGGGGAGCTTGTTGCAGATGTCCGTGCGCAGCTGCTGGTGAACACCTGTGGCCACGGGGGTCCAGGCTCTCACCTCTTGGCATTCTTAGCCTGAACTGAGCAGTCTGTAACTGATTTTTTTTTTTTGTAAATTCAAAGCTTTGGAAAGGAAGAGCAATAAATTATTGTTTTCAGATGGCTTGATCTACCTCTTTTCCTGGTGCCCTTAAAGTGTACATTTAACATCTTGAGAGAACCCTGGACTCTCGAGCCCCTCCCTCATCCGAAAAAAACAAACCAGGCAGTGGTCAGCAGGGACCTTTATTTGGACCAGACACATGAGTCAGATGATACTCCCAACAATCAGAACAATATGGCTTGTGAGCAAAACAGACTAAAAGAGGGAACCAAACAGGACCAGTTATCATTTTCCATGTGTGTTCACAGGTGTGTGTGTGTGTGTGTGTGTTTGAGTTGACCTCGAGTACAAATTTAGAGAAAGCTAAGGAGCCAGTGAAGAGACCCTGCATTTACACAATGGACATGTCATGCCCAGCTGCCCTTCCACTTTGAGAACAGGCCAGGATGGATGATGAAACTCTCAGGAAGGGTGAAGTTATCCAACAGGAAGCACACTTCCAGATCAGGTTTGAGACACCAGACCTCAGAGGGAAGGGACTTATGTCAGGTGGTCTGTAAAAACAGAGAAGACTAAGGTATGGAAAGAATGAATCAGGAGATGATTTAAAAAAAAAAAAAGAATCTTTTCTGGGATGACCTGTTTAAGACACAAACAAAACACCTTCCAGCTTAATCCATTTCTGAACGTCAGGCCAGAGCTGACCCTTGAGTAAAACCAAGTTTAGGCCTCTTGCAGAAACTTGCCCCAACCAAGGGTGGGGGCAAAAAAACCCATGATACAGTTTTGAATGAATATTAAAGAGGCATAATTTCAAACTTAAAAATGACCTGAAAAATCCCACTCTTCATTTTGCTGATAAAGGATATGCTGCGGAGAATCAGGAGTCAAGGGTTTAATCACATGGGCACTGTGGGTCAGGTGACTCATGAATGTGCCAAGCAGGCCACGTTTCTTGGAAGTTTATCCAGGATCTGGTCTGGTCCTGCTCACGATGGAACTTGGGCACGCGGTGAGGTATTTGGCACCACTTCCCTATAACCTAGCCCACACCCTTCAGTCCGTGCTCAGGTGATTGGTCTGTTTGCACCAGTGTCCTCAGAAGGGGGGGTTCTGATGTGGCTCCTGCCAGAGTCTTGCTCTTTCTGTGTCGCTGGTGTGTTTCAAATGCTACTGAAGACATGGGTTCTGAGCAGTTTTCCTCATACTGGGTCCAACCGGAAAACTGCCCTATGGGCATCTCCCCACCCCCCGACCAAGCCAGTCATTATTTCTCTCATTTTTTCTTTCTTTTCTCCTCATACTTGTAGTAGGGGCTCCGCAACATGAAAAGTAGAAGCATAAGAGGGATGAGAAAGTAGGGGGCATAGATGGACAAGAGGGTAAGTCGTTCGTGGAAAGTCTTAGGTCCTTGTCCTTTGAAACCACTGGCTTTGGAGAAATCATCAAACAGAAACGTGGAGAGAATTGGAATTAGAGTTGTCATGGTGTGAACTGAGTAGATGATTGCAGGGGTGCGGATCCACCTGCGGCCTCCTGAAGTGGTGGGGGGCGGAGAGAGAGAGAGAAGCGTTTGGTCTGTCCGTGACCCCAGGGCTGCCCACAATCTTCTCCACGCTTGCTCCCTTCAGCTGACCCCGTCTACCCTCCCACTGCAAATGAATGGAGAACTGGGGGTGCTCTAATACTGCCTAATGCACGGAGCTGGGGCTCTAGTACACTGACTGCCAGAGAACCAAGGGTGGGGGTCGGAATTTAATTGAGAAAAACTCTAGGGCAGTAAAATGGCCATTACAGTTTACACAAGGCGGGGGGGAGGGGCCTGCCACTAGCATCTGTTAGTAATTATATATAGGTGAGAAGGTCAACAGCTTCTGCCAAGACATGGAGTTGGGGGCTCCAGTGGGAAAGAGGCTGTATGAGCTTAGTTACCATGTACATGTGTGGCCCCTGTCTTTATAAAAGCGTTAGTCACAGGGGAACACTGTAAGAATAAATGAGAAGTGAAGTCCTTCTGGGGTGAGCTGGATGCTACTGCTCAAAAGCCAGTCTGGTGCTACCCAAATCAGAAAACTAAAAGCCAATGATAAAAGGAAAATTCTGCAGGTGTAAAAACAAAAAGGAACAAGTTCAATCTGTAAGCAGCCTCCAGCGTAGGAGAGATTTCCAGCTAAGCACGGGCACAGGCCTGAGCCACAGTAACGCCCCTTTACCAGCCCCCTCCTGCCATTCCCACCCCACCCCACCCGAGATCACCCTCGCACAAACTACAGGGACCACTCCCCTTCTCTGAGACACTTTCCCAAAAGATTTCTGGGACCTAATTTCAGAGCAAAAGTGGGATTTCCCCACCAGTTACCTACCTCTTAAGAAGGCGTACGTCGCTATGGGAAAGAAAGGCAGCTGGAACACAAGCTCGCAAAACAGGAAGGACTTAAACCATGTTGGGGGGGCCTGGAGCAGAGGGTCTTTGAACTCCTTAGTATACCACTTCAGCAGGTTTGTCAGCTGAGGAAAGAGAAAGGTCATGACGCATGCAGCCGCCTGGCAGGACCGGCTAGCAGCTCCATCCCGCGGCAGCCCAGATGGTCACTTCAGAAAAGCTCCCTCACTCCTCCGAGAGGCTTCTCTCAGCTCTTCCAGGCCCTCTGGGCTACGCAGCATCTGTTCCTGACTCTATGACAACACACAGCCCGCTGTGTTGCCCACTGTCAAGAGCAACGATATCTAGCACTTAGTAGGCTCTCAGTTCGAGGAATGAACATACAAAGGCAACAAATCTGCCAGCAACCTGCTTCCTGGTAAAGGACAGCCATGAAGAGCGTCCTAGCATTTGGCCGGAACAAGAGCAGCTGCACACCAGGCTCCGAGGGCCAGACCGCCTCCAATACAGAAATGAGCCGAGTTTGTCTTTTGGGGGCGGGGTGTGGGGGGATGGAAGGGAGATACATTTAACTTCTATAAAGATGCAATTTAATGCCCCATCTCAAGCTCCTCATCATTCTTAACTACTCTAGTTCTGCAGAGTTTTCTTGTAGGAGACCAGTAGGCTATTTGTTTTTTGTTGTTTTTTTTTTAAAGATTTTATTTATTTGACAGAGAGACAGAGCACAAGTAGGCAGAGAGGCAGGCAGAGGGAGAGGGAGAAGCAGGCTATCCACTGAGCAGGGAGCCCGACGTGGGGCTCGAACCCAGGACTCTGGGATCATGACCTGAGCTGAAGGCAGCCGCTTAACGGACTGAGCCACCCAGGCGCCCCCAGTAGGCTATTTGTAGAACAAACTGCCCAAACCACAAACTACAGAGCTTCTAGGCTATGTCACGGCCTGAGGATTAGCAGTCTCGGTTCCAGCTTGGGGCCCACCCTCCTAATTACACTGTTAAATCAAAAGATGCCGATCTGTGAACACGTGGCTGCGGGGGCAGAGGAAGGAAGCAGGAAGGTTTGAGGTTGCCCATTTTGTGCCCTTTGTAAGAACCCGAAGTGCAGGGCTCCCCACACCACACGGACTACTGAGGGTCTGTCACATTTTATATCCTGTCTTGACACACCTGCCTCCAAAGCCAAATAGGTGTCTTGATATTATGATAAATAAAGGCAACTTCCAGTGTGAGAATTTTGCCTGCAATGGAAAAATCCAAAGATATTTTTCCTGTTAATTTTTAATCAAAAGATTAAGACTCACTATTGTGAAATTGAGGCCTCACTGCTGAAAGTAAGCTTTAAGCAAATATCCAGAAACAAACATTCTGTTAGCATGATCTTAATTGCAGGAAGGCTCTGGCTTGATAACCAGTTTATTGACCAAGTGATACCGAATTTGTACTTGATTTGAAATCGAAATCCACGGCAATACCCTTAGCTTCCTTCTAGGCACTTTTCAGAGTGGTAATGGGGTAGAAAATACTCATAAAGGTTAAGTCCCTGCATCTCTCCTGGGCTCTGTTTCCTCATCTGTAAAACAAGCAACTTGGACCAAATGTTTAAGGTCCTTTTTTGCTTTCCAGATTTTCTTAAAAAAATAAATAAATACTGGAGGGAATGACCTGCTTTGAAGATTTGCCGTAGAATACAAGGCATTCTGGTTTGTTTGAATTTCATGTTCTATTCAATCTGTATTCCAACCTCTCAGATCCACCTATTTCATAAATCCAGACAGTTCTACACAGCATGGGTAATTTCTGAGGGCTGCAGGATGAGATTAGCAAAACACAAAGTAATCTAATCAGCCAGCTCTTGAAGTAATCAATTAGGATCCAAGCACCTGCCCACAGTCCCATAATAGCCACGTGATGTGAAAACAAGGCCTGGACTAAGGGCAGATGGAAGGCAAATCACAGGTCCCTGGCGAGGGAAGGGCATGGGACATGGGGGGTGCAATCCGTGGCTCTGGGCAAAGTGCTTAATCTCACTCAACTTGTTTCCCAATTGTAGTACTTACCTCACTACTGGTGAGATAAAATGACTTAACGTACATGGTCTTTAGAACAGTGGCAAGCACACAGTACATGTTACCATTACTTAAGTGAATGTAATTAACACATATTCAGAGAAATTCAAGTTTAATCCCATTAAAATTTCACCATGCAACTGGTCATAAGAATTATTCTTATTAGGTAAGACCCAAAAAAGGTTTATACCTGACTCATATTTGACTAAACCTATCACTGTTATCCACTAAACTATTCACCTGGCCTTTGCACAAGGATTTCTAAACCAGGAGTTGCTACTGAATAAACCTGTACTTCCCTACCTTAGAATGAGGGCACAGGGGTGCATGGGTGGCTCAGTTGGTTAAGCGTCCAAATCTTGATTTCTGCTCGGGTCATGATCTCTGGGTCATCAGATCAAGCCCTGGGTCGGGCTCCTCACTGGGAGTGGAGCCTGCTTAAGATTCTCTCTCTCTCTGCCTTTGCCCCTCCCCAGTCATGCTCTCTCTTAAAAAAAAAAAGAATGAGAGCACAGACTGATTATCTTTCCTTATTATTTTTTTTTAAGATTTTATTTATTTGGCAGAGAGAGAGAGAGAGAGCACAAGCAGGAGGAGCGGCTTCCCACTGAGGGGCTCGATCTCCAGGACCCTGGGATCATGGGCCGAGCTGAAGGCAGAAGCTTAACCAACTGAGCCACCCAGGTGCTCCCCATCTTTCCTTATTTTAGCAGAAGCAAGGCTACCCAGCTGCAAATGATACTACAAAATGCTTCCCCATCCTCTCCAAGTTCTAAGTCAAACAATTCTTACAGTCTCATAGTAAGTTTTTCTGAGTGTTGATCGGTTCAAACCAAGGAAGATATTTAATTGGCAAATTTTAGCCCAACTATTATGGGAGCTCCGCAAAGTTTTTAGTTCTAGGGGAAAATTCCTTCTATTTAGGGAAGAACAACACAACAGATGTTAAGATTTGGCATTTTTTTCAAAGAAAATCTGAGAATAACTCAAGGATTTTATTATTATTTCCCCATAAAGAAGCAACAAAACCATCAATCTCTACTCCCTCAAATACTGACCACTGACCAGAGGTGGGGGGTGGGGGCCTTACACACACCCAAGGAAGAACTGTCTTCAAAAGGACCAAAGTGTCTGCCCCATAAGGGTCTGGGGCAAAGAAAACCCCAAGCAAAACGTCGAGTTGACCGGTAAGGAGGGGCCGGAGCACCGGCAGGACCTAAGGACGGCGGGAGGGAAAGGGGGGGGCAGAACCAGAACCCTGGGCGGGGGGGGGGAGGGGCTCGAGCGGAGGAGGGGAGGTCTTGGGGACGCCAGGGTACAACAACCGCAGCGCGCGCAGGAGCCCCAAACTCGACGACCGGCGGTCAGGACCAACCGTCGCCCTCACCTCGACCGGGTAGAATTCGCGCGGCAGCACCACCTGCAGGTCCAAGAGCAGAGTGATGGGGACGTGGGAGAGGAAGTAGAGGCCCAGTAGCCACTCCAGGCCGCGGCGGACGCCCAGAGCCCCCATCATCCGTTGGTTAAGCCGGGCAGGAGCCGAGACCGCGCCCGCGAGGACAGCCGACGTGGGAAAAAGGCCCGCGCCCCCACAGCATCCCAGAACTCCGCGCCCGGGCCGCCCGCTCCGCCCCCTAGAGGGATACGCCGGCCACTCCCATTGGCTGGCTGAGAAGCCGCGGCGGGAGCGGCACTCGCCGCAGAGCGCGCCCATTGGCTCGTCCGTGTATAGCGTGTCGAGGCGGTGCCCCGCAGACCATTTCTATTGGCCGCCGGGGGCGCCGCGTGGGACAGGGGCGGGGCTCCTCGCCGGCCGCGTGGGACGGCAGGGCGGCGCGCAGCTTGCGGACTGAGCGGGCGTGCGGGGGCCTGGCGCTGGCGGGACCTCTAGCCGCCGACTCCGTGGCGCGCTCTGGTCCCTTTCGCTCGGTACTCCGTTCATTCACCGCAAACCTAAAGCGCTGACTGAGCGGCTCCTGTGGGCCGGGCCACGGGCGCTGCGGGAGGTGAGCTCGCAGTGCAGCGGAGGTGCCGCAGACCAGGGCCGGCCGCACAGTGCGTTGTGATCCGCTGGGTGGCTCGGCATTCACGGGCCGTGGGCACAGCGGCAAGATCCCTGTCCCGCAGGCATTGAGGGGTCCCGGAGCCTTCCGAACGTTGACTAGGAGGCAGCCAGCCTCAATTAAGCAAGAAGCACAGGGATGTAGTAAGACGATGGACAAGTCTTGGTGATTGGCTGTGAAGAAAGAGGGAGGATTTATTCATTCTGCAAATACTGATCTTTAACTCTCTGCTGGCCCCAGCCATTCACTAAGGAGTGGGACACAGGAGAAGTGAGTTGAAGAGAAAGTAATCTGTTTCTGGCTGTGTTGACAATCAGCAGTCTCTGCAGCATCTGAGTGGAGAAGTCTAGGAGGCAGTTGGATGAACCTGTCTAGAGAGGTAGATTTGTGTGGCAGCAGCGTCTGATGGGAGTTGAAGTGTTGAGAGCAGAGGGCCCGTAAGAGGTCTTAGGGAGCTCCAGCCTCAGGGGTGGTGTGAGGAGGGGGCTGAGACACAGGTGTACAACAGGAGTGTGATGTCACAGAAGCATGGGTGTGTGTGTGGGGGGCTCAGTCCTGTCGGAGCAACCTTGAATGGCCCCCGTGGTGGCCCTGTGAGAGCACCTGTGGTGTGGTGGAGGCAGGGCCAGATGACAGCAGGGCAGGGAGTGTAGATCTCCGGTTAGGAGGAGAGGAGAGAGCAGGGGGAGTAGCTTGAGGGAGATGTGCCCCATACAGGGCTTACTTATTCATTTCTCAGAGGAGAGAGACTAGAACACTCTGACTTGTTTAGATGCTTTTTTAAGTTTCTGGGTCAGGGGGAGAGGTTGTCCTTATAGGAGGAAGGGAGCAGGAAATGTGGCTCAAGGCCCCCAGGGGCTGGAGAGAATGGAAGGATTAAGGTTAGGTCAGAGGAGCTCTGTGCTCCCCAGGGCGGGTCGCTTGGGACTGGGCCAGAGAAACTGGTGGCAGTGTAGAGGGCCCAGCTGAGGTGGGTGGCCATGGATCTGGAGGCCCGATCTCCTAGGCTGTGTGCTTTTCTCCACGGTGGGGTCTGCTCAGCAAAAAAGGCTGTTGACTTATGCAGGTTGGGGTTCAGAAAGACAGTGGTGATTTTGAGGCGTTGGATGAGAGAGCGATTGCAGAGAGGGAGCATGCGCTTCAAGCTGGATAGGGAGGAGGCCGCGTGGGACCAGAGGAGCTGGCAGCCTGGGGAGCGTGGGAAAGGGAATGGGTGTGAGGCCGAGGAGGCAGTGTCGGCATGGTGGGCATCACTGGATGAATGGACCGGAAGGCGGGGAGATTAGTACAAGGGGGCACAATGTCACAAGGTCAGAATTCCTGGTGTCGGAAGAGATTCTGTGCAGGGGAAGGTGTTTGGAGATGGGGTCAAGGGACAGAGAGCCAGGGCGTGCGATGGATGGACGGTGAAGACCACATAGGATGGTGGTGGCAGTTGGGTGGAGAGAAGGCTGTGAGCCTGTTGCCAAGAGGAGTAACCAGGAGAAGGTGGGCACGGGCTGGGGCATGGCTTAAACCTCAGAGATTGGAGGGTGAGCTTGTGGCCTTGGGGAGCAGGGAGGCCAGTGACCCCACCTCCTGACCCTGAGGTCAGGTGTGTGAACAAATGAACGGCCTCCACTGGAGAGGGCCGTGGGGAAGCCGAGACCTGGGAGGGCAGGGAGCCAGTTGTCCGTTCCTGCAGCAGGTGAAGGCTGAGGGTGTGGAGGGCTTTGGGCTCTGGAGAGGAGGGGGCTGTTCACTAGGAAGGACGGCGGGACAGAGCCCGTGGCAGGAGAGCATAGCAGGGGAGGGAGGTGCAGCTTCCGGTGTGGTGTGCAAGGGATGAAGGGCACTGGTGGCTGAACGCGGTCAGAGCACAGAGTTCTGGCGGCTCAGGGCCTGTCGGGGACAGGTGGAGCCCCCCCCCACTCCCTCCACACACACCCCACTCTGGAGGGGCAGGTGGAGCCCCCCTACACACACACCCCACTCCGGAGGGGCAGGTGGAGCCCCCCTACACACACCCACTCCAGAGGGGCCTGGCGGCAGGGTGCTCGGCCCGGGCCCCACCAGTGGCTTTCAGCTGCACTGCGTGCTGATTAGAACTGCTTGCTGGGGGGCGGGGGAGGGCATGTGGGGCCCCGAAGCTGGGATTTGCCCAGGGAATGTGTAAGTGTACAGCTGCTAATGTGACTGATCCTCGGCAAACCTCACACCCGGCCAGGTTGGTTATCTGTAGATAAAGACTTGCAAGGCCAAGCACTTTCCCTGCAAGGCTTTTCTATCCAAAAAAAAAAAAAAAAAAAAAAAGTCTCTGTGCAGCTGCTGCCTTATGTTTGAAATTCCTTTAGTGGGGGAACTGCAGCTCTTCACTTGAGGTCAGATAAGTGGTAGAAGGCAAATGGCCCTGGGGAGGAGGGAGGAGGGAGGACGGCTCATCAATCCGCAGAGTCCCCCACCCAAAGCAAGGGTGAAGTGAAAGACTGACTTTTAAAAGGGGAGGGGGGGTCTCCAAGCAGTTTCCCTGTCTTTCTGAGTGAGATGAGGCAATGTTTAGCACCTTTTGAAAATGATTTGTACTGTGATGAGATGGACGCCGTTAGCCCAGTAGTGCTGGAAGTGGAACCCCAGCTGAGAGGTGTTCAGAGGAGGGACCCGCCACTTTCCTGTTTGGCAGCAACTGTAGAGTTCTTTCCTCTGCTTTCGTTTCACTTTTCTCTCTCCTTAAAACGCACCCACACTACTCGCAGCTCCCACCCCCCCTTCCCTGCATATCTGAAGGCCCAAAGGCCTCCTCCCCTGCTGGTGTCTGTTTGGTGGTGCTGCTGCTGCTGCCGTCTCTGAGCCTTGGCGGCGTTCTCTGGGACACGTCTGTTCCTCTCACTCTGAGCCACACTGATCTGACTCTGTCTCCACACACCTTTCCTGCTGGACTGAGGGTTCCATATCTGCCATTTCACTAACACAAAGCCGGAGTCATTGTTGAGTGAACTGTGTACGAAAGCCTCCTGGCTCACGGACACTGCCACCTGCCCTTGGAAAATGCTAAGACCTGGGAAACCACTGTGGCTCTAGGATCTGCAGATGGCTTCACACCTCAAAGCCAAAACCTTATACGTTCGTTAACAAAAGCTAAGATTCTGGTGGTGCTGGAGGTGTAGCAAGGGGGCTGTGGGAGGGGAAGATTCAGAATGATCTCTCTTGAGATCTGTGGGTTTCGTGGAGTTTTGAGTGATTACCTCCTTTTCATGTCCAAGACCCCGTGAACATAGATCGAGGGGCAGAGTGGGTGCAAGTTAGTTCTCAAAGACTTTGTTAAAAATTTGGATATTTTGTTGTTCATAGATCTTTTTGCATTAATTTTAATTTTTATTTTTTAAAGGATTTATTTGAGAGAGAGCAAAAACGATCACAGAGGCAGAGGGAGAAGCAGACTCCCCGCTGAGCGCAGAGCCAGATGCAGGACTCGATCCCAGGACCCTGCGATCATGACCTGAGCTGAAGGCAGACGCTTAACCGACTGAGCCACCCAGGCGCCCCTTAATTTTGATTTAAAAAAAAAAAAACTGCATTAAGATATTATCTATCCTGATTACTGAGTTTTTGGTACCACCTAAGTTTTGTGCCTTGGGGAATATCTCCCTCACCTCACGCTTGTCCCAGCTCTGGTTGTCAGGTAGGAGTGGAGCTAAGTTTGATTTGGGGAGGAAGGGTCAGATTACTGGGTCTGGAAAGCTAAGAGTCCGTTAGGTTTGATGTCAGGGCAGTAGACAGTAGGAGATCTTGAGCAGGGCAGATTGGGATGACAATCATGTTGTAGGAAGATGCATCTGGCCCTAATGCACAAGGTGGACTGATTGATGTGTGGGAAAGGGCTGGAAGCAAGATCCTGGAATTTGTATAACTAGAGCGTGTTTCCAGAAGCTTAACAGTTAGAAAAGGAAAGAGCGGGAGGTATTAGGGTCAGGCTTTTTTTTTCCAAGATAGATGTGTTTCAAATACATCTGGTGGGGGAAGTCAAGGGGCCCATGTAATGGGAGGGTTAACATTTCTCGCTTATCAAGTGCTTACTATATACTACAGCAGAGGTTGGCAAACTTTTACTGTAATGTAAAATATACTGTAAATGGCCAGACAATAAATATTTTAGGCTTTGTCGGCTATGCCATTTATTATGTGAAAGCAACTATAGAAAATATATATATGAGTAAATGTGGTCATGTTCTAATAAAACTTTATTTACAAAAACAGGCACTGGGCCTGATTTGACCCGTGATGGTTGTAGTTTACTGATTCCTGCTCTAAGGCATTGTTATCTCCATGGTCAAGGCCAGGTGGCCATAGGTTCTAGTTAGTAAGTAGAAAGAAAGCGTGGAGGGAGTATATACATCATACTAACGCCTAGGCCTGGAAGTGGTACACATCCCTTCCAATGACATTCCACATGTTGCCACCAGGGGCTTGGGAATGTAGTCTAATCTTGTGCCAGGGAAAGAGATTTCAGTGGTCCATGAACAGTGTTTGCCACAGCTTCCTTTAGGGGCAATTTCAGAACCTTCAT